TTGTGGCCAAAAACCCAATCCGGTGACATGAACGCCCCGGCAGGGATCAAAGCAGTAAGCGTCAGAAAGTTGGTGGATGAAGCAGTGAAACTTGGATGCATCAGCAAAAAAATGCAGAATGCAAGATATGGTCCCGGGTTTGAACTGGTCACGGGGCGAAACAAGGCATGTGTTGTTGTTTCGATGTAGCTGGTGCCGGGAGGTGATGCCAGTGAAAACGTGGCCCCTATAGCCAGCTTTCCATCGTTCAGACCCTCCAGCAAAGCGTAAGCATTTGGCAAGTCTTTTTGCTCTGCCATGAAATGGTTGGGCAGTTCCTTCAGTCATGGTTTGAAGGAAAGACTACCAGATTTCGGGTGATGCGTTGCTCTTCTTCGATTTCATGAGTATGAGACGCTTGGCTCGACTGCTGCGCTTTGACTGGGCCAGATCGTGAAGGCGGACACTTCCTTGAGCTCCAGTCCGCACCAAGGTCAAAATCCGTTTCTGCCAGGGCAGAAAGAGCGCACACCATCGGAACAGCAGGATTTTTTGAAAGGTATTGAGGCCAGAGAGTCTTGCGGAGCCGTTGGTGGTTCACCATCTGATTCAGTGGAGGGTGTTTTGAGACGACCAGAAAAGCTGACAAGAGCTTTGCAAGAACTAAGGGACATTTGCTTGGTTAAGTCTTAACAGATGCCGATTACTTGTGGAAAGGAGCAAGGGGATACACCACGCTTGATCTTGAGAGTTTAGGGGGAACAGTTCTGGCAGGGACAGATTTCATGGGAGCAGCTCAAGTGGGCTTGTGTTTGGGGATGCACCGCACATCTGATGAGTTGTGAGTATCACACAGATCTGCTGTCACAGTTCATAAGAATTTTTGCGCCGCTGCTCTTTCTGTTGAGGGATGCTATCCGTGCCCATCCATTTCCGGGCAGGCCTTGCCAGAGATTTTTTTCACCTCTGATGCGGTGCTGCACATCGATGGTGAGTGGCCAGATTTGGATTGTGAACTGGAGGAGGTGAGTATGGTGCACCGGGGTTAAAGGTAATTATCAGGAATCCCCAAGGCCTGGTAGGATTACAGTCAACCTCCAACAGGGCAAGCATGAGAACTCCCAGACCCTGGAAGTGGATTGAGACAGAGTTGCTACGTAACTCCATTTCATTCCCTCCAAATGGGCCGGTAGGCTCTTTATGGTTTTATCCGACGCCAGGAGATGCTTCCCCCAGCAGAGCTGGAGAAGTATCATTTGAAGGCAGGGGGGGGGGGAACTTGTGAGTCTACAGATGGAGCAAAACATGAACAATAACAAGTTTGAGACTAAAATCTACACATCCAATTGAACTCCAAAACAGCCGCTAGAACATGATCATGAAGCATGGTTTGTTGCCCAAATGCTTTTATGAGATTGTGGCAAGCTACTGGTCAAACTACAGGAAGGTGCGGCCAGCAAATGCAAAATCACCCTTCACTTCGAGCAACATCATTTCACTTTCAGATCCTGCATGTGAATCCTTGCCAAAAAGGAGCTGGGCAATTCGGTGCTGGTCTATGAAGAGAAAGAAGCAGAGGCAGCTCAGTCCATGGTCGACGCGTTGAGGTTTTGGGAGATCGGATAGAGTTTGGATCAACGGTGTCAGCTTCCAAGATGTTCAAACTGTTTGGGAATAACTTATGAGATGTGCTCATAACAGGATATGGATCCATTCTTGCATGCTACCTCACTGAATAGTCAAATCCAAAAGCGTCAACACAAATAATCAGATAGCACCCTGAGAGTGCTTCGGCATTTTTTCAGGGCCCGGCCACTGCTGACAGGATGGAACCAAAGCTATCATGCCTATTTACAAGATTGACTCCGTGAGGGATGTGAGCCACAGGAGAGACAATGTTTCTGGTCTCCAGTCAGACAGGATTCTTTGCTACAGTACTACTTTATCTAGGGCATCACAGTGACAATGGTCAAAGAATCAGACATCAGGGATCATTTGTCCGTGTCTTCAGAAAAGCCATGCCCCCTCACACATTCACCCTCTGCGGCAGGGCATTTTGGCAATGGACCTTTTTTGAGGGTTCCCCGATCGCAGAGTAATTCCTGCTATTTTTCATGGTGGTTTAGTCAACTGCGAGGACCGTCACAAGCATCGATGACATCAAGTCCCCCAAGCAGAGCATGTGGTCTCCCAAGTTTTGCTGTTCTTCGCAAGCAGAGGAGGAGATATTTTTAGGAAATTGCCATGGAAATTGCTGAAGATTCCACAAACAGAGCTGCAGCATTAGGGATGTGCCCGATGTGCTTTAGCTTTGAAGTTTTCACTGCAGTCTGCCGCGGTCATGCGAATTATGGGAGATCATGGGAGATCCACCAGCTATGGAACATCTTTGAAGCCAGCAGCTATTGGGATCCTGGGCCGGCAGGAAGCCTTTTTCGTGGTTCGTCCTGCTCCCCTGGGGAAGCGCAATCAAATTCCAGCAAGTGACAGGTGGAGCCTCTCAAATTGCAGATGTTTTTCTGACCATGAACGACAGATTGGGATGGTAGAGTAGATACACGAATGAACTTGCATGAACTGATTCAGAATCATTCATAAACATTGGACAATCTTCAACTATCTGGATGTACAAATCCGACTCTGACTTTTCACAACTTGATGACTTTTCTAGAAGTACACCAAATAATATCCTCTCCCAATATCTTCAGATGCCAAGCCAAAAAATCCCACGGCACCGCTGTCTCCCGCAGGGGCTGGATCTACTTCGAACGTTTGGTGTCCACCATCCGGGTGGCCCTGACGGATGAGCAATACGCAGCAAGGTCACGCAGGGGCCGTGGATGGCCTGCAACTGGGTTTGGAGGTTGAGCCAACCACATAACATATATCCATATATATATATATATACATATGTATGTGTATATATATATAATATGTATATATATATATGTACATGTATATGTATGTGTGTATATTATATATATATGTACATGTATATGTATGTGTGTATATTATATATATATATATTTGGGGATATAGGATGATATCGTTTATATTGAACTTAGTGAACCAAGCAAACTTGAGAGTTAACCAGTACCATTTGACCTCTGATCAAGCAAACATGACAATTTCAACCAGCAGAATGGGGGTTTTACGAATGGAATTGGGAGATGGTACCCAACAGGGGCCTTTGTGCAGGTGGAGGTCTTGAAGGCTACATAATTTTGTAGCTCTAAAAGTGGGACAATGGGATAATCGGATTACACACGATCTCAGAGATCTCTAGGAATTCCAGAGTGAGAATTCCGAGCTCCCTGATGGTCGCCTCACCAGGACGGTCTATGCCAACATTCCAGAGTTGAAAGAGTCCATCTTACAGCGGGCGCACATTCTGCGAAAAGCAGCGGCCACCAGCAACCCGCAGCTAAAGGCGCGGTAGCCTTCGCTTGGATGATGAAACTGCCATTTAAAATCTGTTTTTTTGGTCAGTTTGGGGTGAAATCCCATGAGTTTCGACCTGCAGTTTAGGCGAGAAAATTAAAGCCTGCCAGCAATGGATCAACATCCCCAAGCATGTCCCAGCTGTATCCAGTCATGGTGCCATGGTCAGGACCAGTTCCAAACCTACATCGAAGAGATTCAGACCAAGACCTTTCAGGTTGGGTCAAGTCATTGGGCATCTGGTATGGCCATACAGGTAGCTTGCAGGGCCATAGACTCGGATGGTGGCTCAGCCACAAACCAGTTGACAAGTATTGCGTACCATAGTTCCATTTTGATTCTTCACATCTCAACTTTTGGGATATCAACTAGATGAGGATATCATGGTTTAGTAATGTTTAGTACTGATGTATAGCCTGGTAAATACATTGTATGCATAGGTATAGATTGAATATACACAGATTATCCCCATGACTTCTGTTGCTGGCTTGAGCCCACCCACGAGGCTACCTCGCTGGATAAGAAAAAGGCCTCGGCGGTGGCGCAACTTGAGCTAATCGCTGGGCTGGTGCCCAGACAACTGGGGGATTTGAGGATTTATAGATGGCGACTGATGGTTATTGATGGTGCACAATAGTGAATAATAGTTAATAATGGTAATCAATGGTTATTAATGGTGATTTACCCTCCAGTGAACTAATGTAGCTATGGAACATGGCCTATCTATGGATGAATTTCTTATTAAAACTGGTGATTTCCATGACTATGTTAGTTTATCAGAGGGTAGATATTCCCCCAGAACAGTTGATTATGCTGATTAAAGAACACCCATCAGCGGACTGGTTGTGTTGGAGATATCATGGGGATATAATCAACTATTATATACAGATACAGAGATGCTGGGGATATAAATGGAGCTTTTACCAGCAATCTATCAGGATATCGTGGGTATGGCTGACAATTACCCCTAAAATAGGCTGCTTGAGTAAAATAATGACCCAATGTCATCAAGTTTGTCGATCCATTTCTGGCTGACCGGCCGAGGAAGGTTTCAGATACAGATCTGGTCTTCTCCTTGCTGGACCACCTGCGGTGTCGCATCAGCCTGGCTCTGGCTTTGACGGTGCGAAATTTGACGGTTGAGGAATGCAGGCTGGATGAAGTCCAGGGGGCACCACCAAGTCGTGGTTGTTGGCGTTGATGACTGATGGCCTTTGGGAAAGTGGTTCCTCTGGGAATTGGCACAAGCCATAAATTTGGTGTTGCCCCCAGCGATCTACAAGTGAAATGGGATCATAAACCCAATTGTACTTGGTTATCATTGTTGGTGGCACGTTGGTGGGATACCTGCAGAAGCCCAAAAGCTCAGCCAGCACAACTGTTTCCTTGGGACAAATTACCTTTTCCAACTCACCGTCCAAGCATCAAGTGATCATCCGACCGATCATCAACTGATTTTTCCAAGCCCATCAACAACCATGAGGGCTTGATAAATGCCCCATTTATTGGAGAGTCTTGCCCCCAATTTGCCGTGATTCAAACGCGACGTGGCAGGGAGCTGCTGGACGACAAAGCAGACCTGACCATCCAGGATGGCCGTGGCTACACGGTGCTCCACAACGCGACCCGCTGGCGGAACCCACAGGCGCGAAGGGAGTGGAATCCGGGATCCTGAAGTCTTCGTTTGGTTCGTCATTATTATGTACTTTTTTTTTGGTGAGATATGTTTTTTTGTCTAATGAGTCTAATGATTTTACAGTCTATCTATCTATCTATCAATCAATCTATCTATCTATCTATCCATCCATCCATCCATCGATCCATCTATCTATCTATCTATCTACCTATCTATCTATCTATCTAGCTAGCTAGCTATCTATCTATCTATCTATCTATCTATCTATCTCTGTCTATCTATCTATCTATCTATCTATCTAGATCTATCTAGATCTATCTAGATCTATCTAGATCTATCTAGATCTATCTAGATCTATCTAGATCTATCTAGATCTATCTAGATCTATCTAGATCTATCTAGATCTATCTAGATCTATCTAGATCTATCTAGATCTATCTAGATCATCTAGATAGATCGATCTATCGATCTATCGATCTATCTATCTATCTATCCATCCATTTATCCTCCACATCATTTTTCCAAAATAATGCCATCTATTGACATTGCCCTGAGCCTTTTCAGTGCCAGGTGGTGGAGTTCCTGCTGGAGAATGGCAGTTCTCAAGGCATTCGCGACAAGTTGGGAAACACCGCAGGAGCGATAGCTGCGGCATCGGCAGGGTCTCGCGGCTTTGTGTCGGTGAAGCCAAGGGTGACACGGGTTTTGTTTTTTTGAGCACCAAATCATTTTATGGCAGTTTTGCACATTATTGCACCAAGTTGATCATCAGTCAGAAGTGATTGCACAATATTGAACAATTTATACCAAGTCTCACAAATCATTATGGAAAGGGAATCAAGAGCGGCCCGATACTCGGTGGTTTCCGCAGGACATGTGATTCCCTTGTACGCAGACGATACCACGGTGGAGCTCTGTAGGACATCAGAAAGAGGGGGGGTTAGATTCCTTGACTCAGAAAAACTGGAATATAGAAGCTGCTTAAAGATGGCAGGATGACATCTGGCCGCTTGGATAGTTCTTGTGTATGAGGGTGAAACAAAATCTCCAGGTGCAGGTCCTTAGATGCGCTGAAGTCCAAACTTCCAAAAGAAATCATGACTCCATGACTCCATCGCTAGTTTTATGTGAGGATTTTGGGGGACGATGAGAAGTATTTGGCCAAAATGAACCGTGCTGGTTTGCCCGTGCTGAAGCGCATTGAAACCTGGGCCTTGACTGCTGTGGATGGCAAGCCCTTTCAGAAAGCTTTGGACTGGGTGAAAGAGAAACAGGAGCCAGGGGCCTCGTAGGTTTGGTGATAGCCATGGCAGGGTTGTTCTCTAACTTCTGGCACATTTTTTAAATATCAGCCACAGAGAAATATGCTCCAAGGCTTTGGTCAAGCATCCAGGAGATGACTCCATTGACAGGTGAATTCACCACGGGTTATCCACGTCAAAACTGCCACACCCACCCTGTGCCAACACGCCAGAGGAGCAGTTTCCACGGCTTACTCAAGGACAGCTTGCACTGAAGCACCAGGTCAACACATGGACACGTGAACACATATTACCATAATTTATATCCATAATTTTGGAAAAATCTATCAACTATATCCACAATTTTGTTCCCGAGAGCGTCTGAGCGCAGGGTTCTTCCAATAGTGGGGGTCTGTAAAACATCTTCTCATCTTCACATCTCATCTTCACATTCTCTCATCTTCACATCTTCTCATCATCTTCACATCTTTTCATCTTCACATCCTCTCATCTTCACATCCTCCCATCTTCACATCCTCTCATCTTCACATCTCATCTTCACATCCTCTCATCTTCACATCTTTTCATCTTTACATCCTCTCATCTTCACATCTTTTCATCTTTACATCCTCTCATCTTCACATCCTCTCATCTTCACATCTTTTCATCTTTACATCCTCTCATCTTCACATCCTCTCATCTTCACATCCGCTCATCTTCACATCCTCTCATCTTCACATCCTCTTATCTTCATATCTGCTCATCTTCACACCTTCCCATCTTCACATCTGCTCATCTTCACACCTTCCTTCCCATCTTTACATCTTCTTATCTTTACATCTGCCCATCTTCACATCTGCTCATCTTCACACCTTCCCATCTTCACATCTGCTCATCTTCACACCTTCCCATCTTCACATCTGCTCATCTTCACACCTTCCCATCTTCACACCTTCTCATCTTCACATCTGCTCATCTTCACATCTGCTCATCTTCACACCTTCCCATCTTCACATCTGCTCATCTTCACACCTTCCCATCTTCACATCTCCTCATCTTCACATCTGCTCATCTTCACATCTGCTCATCTTCACATCTGCTCATCTTCACATCTTCTCTCACATCTTCTCTCACATCTGCTCATCTTCACATCTGCTCATCTTCACATCTTCTCTCACATCTGCTCATCTTCACATCTGCTCCTCTTCACATCTGCTCAACTTCACACCTTCTCTCACATCTTCTCACCTTCACATCTTCTCTCCTTTCTCTCTCCTTTTTCTCTCTCACGCCTTCTTTTTATCTTTCTCTCTTAAGGCCGAGGGTGGTGCCGGCGGTGAGTCACGAAACGTCAACCCTTTCGCACGAAATGAGGGTCGATCGGCAAAAACTGAGGTAAAATTGCGATTTGACTTGTCCCGGAGCAACCCTTTCGCACGAAATGAGGGTCGATCGGCAAAAACTGAGGAAAATTTGCGATTTGACTTGTCCCGGAGCAACCCTTTCGCACGAAATGAGGGTCGATCGGCAAAAACTGAAGTAAAATTGCGATTTGACTTGTCCTGGAGCAACCCTTTCGCACGAAATGAGGGTCGATCGGCAAAAACTGAGGTAAAATTGCGATTTGATTTGTGCCGGAGCAACCCTTTCGCACGAAATGAGGGTCGATCGGCAAAAACTGAGGTAAATTTGCGATTTTACTTGTGCTAAAGCAACCCTTTCGCACGAAATGAGGGTCGATCGGCAAAAACTGAAGAAAAATTGCGATTTGACTTGTCCCGGAGCAACCCTTTCGCACGAAATGAGGGTCGATCGGCAAAAACTGAGGAAAAATTGCGATTTTACTTGCCCCGGAGCAACCCTTTCGCACGAAATGAAGGTCGATCGGCAAAAACTGAGGTAAAATTGCGATTTGACTTGTGCTGGAGCAACCCTTTCGCACGAAATGAGGGTCGATCGGCAAAAACTGAGGTAAAATTGCGATTTGACTTGTGCTGGAGCAACCCTTTCGCACGAAATGAGGGTCGATCGGCAAAAACTGAAGAAAAATTGCGATTTTACTTGTGCCGGAGCAACCCTTTCGCACGAAATGAGGGTCGATCGGTAGAAACTGAGGTAAAATTGCGATTTTTCCTGTGCCGGACTTGTCTGTGTGTAAAAGCGTCTGTGTGTAAAAGCGTCTGTGTGTAAAAGCGTCTGTGTGTAAAAGCGTCTGTGTGTAAAAGACTGTGTGCAAAAGCGTCTGTGTGTAAAAGCGTCTGTGTGTCAAAGCGTCTGTGTGTAAAAGCGTCTGTGTGTAAAAGTGTTTGTGTGTAAAAGTGTTTGTGTAAAAGCGTTTGTGTGTAAAAGCCTCTGTGTGTAAATGTGTTTGTGTGTCAAAGCGTCTGTGTGTAAAAAGCGTCTGTTTGTAAAAAGCGTCTGTGTGTAAAAGCGTCTGTGTGTAAATGTGTTTGTGTGTCAAAGCGTCTGTGTGTAAAAAGTGTCTGTGTGTAAAAAGCGTCTGTGTGTAAAAGTGTCTGTGTGTAAAGGCGTCTGTGTGTAAAAGGGTCTGTGTGTAAAAGCGTCTGTGTGTAAAAGTGTTTGTGTAAAAGCGTTTGTGTGTAAAAGCGTCTGTGTGTAAAAGTGTTTGTATGTAAAAGCTTCTGTGTGTAAAAGCTTCTGTATGTAAAAGCTTCTGTGTGTAAAAGGTTCTGTGGGTAAAAGCTTTGTGTGTAAAAGCGTCAGTGTAAAAGCGTCTGTGTGTAAAAGTGTTTGCGATGCAAACTATTGTCTTGCACTTCTCACTATTTTGTCTTGATACTCCTCTTCTCGACTGCCTATAACACAGCTTTCATATATCGTTTCTAATATCGCGTCTCCATACTAACAAGAGAAGACCCTGCTCCTCTACGCTCTCGGGCCATCCGTCGTCTAGTTTTTTAAACCAGGCAGGTTCCACAACAGATTTTCCGAGGGACGGGTGAAACACGTGGAATGGTGCCCATCTCCAGGAGGCAAGAAGGCCTGCGTCAAGCTTTGCACAGACCGCTTTGAGGTGAGCAGGGCACTGAAGCCCCTGGATGGATCAGCTAAAACTTGGGGGAAACAATGGCTGGTTGATGGTTAAGAAATGGGTAATACCAACAAACGTGAAAGATTTCGCCTTCAAAATCAAGGATATGAGTTGTCAATAGCTGTCATTTTTCAAAACATATGAGCCATTTCAATCTGAAAACACGCGCGAACATGCACACGAGCACATGCGCAAGTGTGCGCGCGAGGCGTGCGAGCAAAAACACGCGTGCGTGCGCAAATAAGCTCACCAAAGCTTACTTTTGGAATGATAGATGGGTAGACAGACAGACAGATAGATAGAGACAACTACAACTGCAACTACAACCACACTACACTACCACTACAAATACAAATACAAAAATACTACGCTACGGTACACTAATTACACTAATTGCACTACACTACACTACACGAATTACACTACACCTACAACTACAACTGCTATTACTACTACTACTACTACTGCTGCTACTGCTACTGCTACTGCTACTGCTACTGCTACTGCTACAGCTACAGCTACAGCTACAGCTACAGCTACAGCTACAGCTACAGCTACAACAACAACAACTACTACTACTACTACTACTACAACTGCAACTGCAACTGCAACTGCAACTGCAACTGCAACTGCACTACATTACACTACACTACGCTAAATACAGTACACTACACTACACTAGACTACAGCTACAACTACAACTACAACTACGTGCATTACACAACACTGCGCTACACTAATTACACCACACCACAACTACAACTACTACTACAACTACAACTACAACCACACTACGCTAATTACACTACACTACACTACACTACTCTACACTACGCTACACTACGCTACACTACGCTACGCTACCGTAACTACAACTACAGCTACAACTACAGCTACAACTACAGCTACAACTGCACTACTTTACACAACACTAGAGTACACTACACTAGACTACAATACAGCACACAGCACTACAGCACACTACACTACACTACATCACACTACACTACACTCATTGCACCACACCACAGCTACAACTGCAACTACATTACACTAATTGCACTACACTACAACTACAACTCCACTACACTACAACTACAACTGCAGCTGCGCTACACCACACTACATGCAGCAGTTGTGGGTGAGGTGACCACTGCAACCATTACAACCATTTCAAAAAACACAACTCCAACCACCTTTCGGTCCATCAGCCAATTCGCTCTGCCATCCATGCATCAGAACAACTTACCTCTCCTATAGTGTCCTTTCTTTGAAACTTCCACCGCCGCCTTGTACGGTACTACTGGTAGAACGACCCGCACGCGGCGCGTGCGCATGCCCCATCCGCGCGCCTTGCTTGCGCACCTCGCGCGCGCACCTGTTTTTGCTCGCGCGTCTCTCGCCTGCGCGCACATGTTAAATGCTCGCGCGCTCGCACTGCGCACCCCGCGGCTGGTGAAGCACCACATATGAATTCATATGTTTTGAATGAAACCAAGGTATAAGTAAGCTTCGATGATGGTTGGTTGGTGCTTAAAACTAATTGGCAAGGGTCAATACCTGGACCAGCCATTTCAGTGCGAAAACCACGGCATCAGGTGTTTGACATACTCAGATGAGGTTGCCCTCCACTTGTTTCAAACTGCCTACAGATAGGTTATGAATTATGATATACAATTTCTTCCAATATCACCACATACTACTTCATGGGTGTCACAGTACCGGGCCTAGTTTCGGATGACGGCAATTTCTCATGGAAATCCCACCACCAGGTCGAGTGCTCCTCCATCATGCTGACGGTGAACTCGAAGCAGCGGGAAGTGCACGTTGTCGCACCAAAATTCCCAGCAGCTGCTCGACGCGATAAGTCTGCAGTTAATTTGGGCAACGCTTGGTAAATGGTCGGCCAATTGAGCCTAGGATGATATTGTCTTGTGGTAAATAGTGGAACGTCACATATATTATCCACAGATGGATTCGCCAGGTTGTTGCTGTTGCATATAAATGTCAGTGACAGCAACTTTTTGACGCAAAGACTTTGCAGATGTACCGAATTCCCGGATGCGACCACCTAGCAGCACAGGAAGCTTCTCATTCCTTGGGTCAAAAGTGATCCCTATTCCGATTTTCCAGGGCATACCCGGCATACCTCCCGGATCTGTCCAGGACTTCGGATCCCTCAGCATTTCAAACAAATCTTGGCGCCAAGGCGGCTCACGTGTTGTACCTGGGTTTTCCCCGCTTCGTTCCTTTTTCCCTTCAGCTGCCGGCGCTGAAGCAATGGGCTGGCACAGGCGGAGCAAGTCTGGCAGCAAAGGAGGAGTTGCTAAGTGAATAATAAGCGTATCGGCGTATTGGTTCACCCAGTTAAGTATGGGATTTATGGGATGTATCCGAAAAATGTGGGCTACTAGCTATTTACTAAAATGGGATGGACCCCGCACCCAAGTGGGTGTCACTCCAAGCAACGGCAATACTTAAGGAAACATGTGAGATGGCAAAACCCAATCTTCCACCATATCCGATTTCACCATTTGAGGGTTATGATGAAGTTACGATACGTTGCAATCCATACCCAATCAGAGTTGTAGCACTATGTACATGAGAATTCCTACATTGAGCATACTTCATGCCCAGAATTTCCTTGAAGAACTGGTCAGTCGAATGGATCGATTTGTCTCCTGATGGGGTTACCTTTCACCAGCGCTGCGGAGGCTTGAAGGTTTGGGTCATCTCGGAAGATGCGGTGGATCCAGAAAGGTTCCTGGATGAATTGGGACCTTCAAAGGTGACCTCAAGGGATCAGATTCAATGGATTGAAATGGCAGGTTTTCATCAGAAGCATCTTTTGACCAAACCATGTGGCACTGATGGTGATAGTGGTGCAGTAAATGTAAAGGGTGTGGTAGAAGGCCGGCCCAAGTTCTTTTTGCATCATTGCAAAATACCATTAAAGAGGTCACTTCACTTGCATCCTGGATTCCAATATAGTACCTCCCGAAAAGATAGAAAAAGGTATGAAATGGTGAACTTTACCACTATTTACGGATTTTAATTTCACTCCTCAACCATTTCACCATTCCGCCAAGTTGCCGTGGGGTACAGGATGACTTCTGCGTCATCGCCGGATAGCTTTGTGGAAGACTTGACGGAGGTGATTCGACAGCTCCTGCCATCCCTTCCAGAGATGCTTGGTCGAGGATGGCCTGCTCACTGGGAGATCCATTGCACCTCTGGGTGATCTCCTGTTGTTTTGGGATCCACTCAGTGGGGATGTTTTTCCAAAGTTGTAACTGATTCGCCACAATGCTAACATATCGCTAACATCTAACAGCCCAAATCTGGAAGTGGGACCGGCCCTGGAGGACTTAGCCCCCCATGGCTATTGACCACTGAGAGCAAGGCCAGGGGCCCTCGCCTGTTCCAAGGAAGTTCATCCTGGTCGATAGCTCCTGGGGGCCGGGAGCAGCTATGGCATGGCAGTTCCCTGGAAGATCAATCGATGGGCTGAGTGGCTAAGATACCTATCTTTCTCTGGAAGAATACCCAGGTGGTCCAGTATGTCCAGTGGTGTTGAAGATTCATGAAATTGGCGTTTGGAAACACGAAGTCAGGTGCCTGGAGAACTCTTTTTGAAATTGACCTGGATCCCTGCCTCAAAATTCAGCCATATGGTCTTATTGCCAATGGCACTAGGCACCTCAATGCAACTCGTCCAAAAAATCTGAGCCCAGCGACCGAGGTTCAAGAGTCATTTGCTCGGTGCCATGATCATCAACGCGGCCTAGCTGCATGGGGGACCTGTCATGTGGCTGTAGATATTACTATCAGAAAAGGGTACCCCAATCATCGTACATAAGAAAATGAGTTTGAAGTGGCTCAAAATGATTATGATTTCATGATTGACCCCCAAATTCGATGGTTGAAAAGCAACACATTGCCAATTTCTGGGGTCCATTAGCAGCCCATGTTTGATCGCCAGACCTGCAGCTTGTCGCAGCCGAGCGCAATGAGGTACATCTGTTCAAACCTCCCGACTTTGATGAGACCGAGGCGCAGGGAGATGGTCACCTCGGTCTCGGCACAGGAGGGCTTGAACCCCAACTGCAAACATTTTGAAGATGTAAGGCTTGAATAGGCTTGAATAGGCTTGATGTGTTTGCGTGTTTGCCTTTGCCTTGGTCAGGCTGCCAAGAAAATCAAGAACCGCATGCAACAACTCGGAGGTATGTTTGAACGGCGAGACATGGAGAAGCTCAGCGGCCACGACATGCCACGACCGTACGCGCATTTAGTTTTTTGTTTGTACGCCAGACTCGACTTGGGCCTTGTCCGGTCAAATCCAGATCAAAACAGAGCACTTTGGCATTCCTTTTTTGATGTCTTTTTATCGATCTCAGATGCTGCTGCTCTTTCCTGCCCCTCAACCTTGGCCGAGGAATATCCAATCATTTGTCACGGACATCATGTTTCCAAACGGTGGTGCAGAAGGTATAGCAGAGACCAAAAGGCCACGGTTGTGCATGACCTGAGCTCAGAGATATGGGCACGTCTCAAAATTGGATACCCACAAACACACAATTTTCCCGATCAAAGTGCCAATGTTTTGCGTATCCCCTTAGCATCTTCTATGAACGGGGTGCTGTCGAAGTCTTCCCACTATGATCAGAACTAAGCTGATGCCACCTGTTCATGTTTTCCAGGCTCCAGTTGCATGTCATTGCTTTAGTTCAGGGACAAATCCCTCCTTATTGGTGCAATTTTCACTGCCTCTGGGTCCTGTCGAAAGCCCAGGTCCATCCAGCCCCCAAAACCTGGTTGCAGGTCCTTTCAACAAGCACTGGAGGGAGCTTCGGAAAACTTTTGGAGACTTTCTGCGTTGCAGCCTCTTGGCGAACTCCAGATGGAACCGAGAGATTTGGATCCTACTGCTATCCCATTTCGGAGGTACTGGGCAAGCGCTCGTGCCCGGTTACAGGTCTGAGTCTATCTTGTACCAGTCCATTGTTTGCCGGTCTTTCAGACATGATGATGTTCACCTCTCACACATTCTATCTTGGGATACCGCACCCAAGAAACTGGTTGGAGTTTAGAAACACTACTGCGTGAATGACCTCTGGTTGATTGATTGGTTGGTTCATAAGTCAATATATTTGTGCGGAGTGACACATTGGACTTGGGTCTAGGTCTCAGCTGGAACCAGGATGCAAGTTCCTACCAGGGTCCGGTCACCTGTTTTCTTTTTCGCCAAGGCCCAGCTGGAACTTTGAAAATTTGACGAAGATTTTCACCGGCTTGGAGGCGAGTTGCGATGCTGGGAAGATTGGGACGAGATTGGATCAAAAGATATGGCAGGGAAACCTTTGTTGCAAGTGCCAAGAGGATCCAAGAGGTAGAGATACTTTAGACATCTGACCTTGTTGCAAGATGAGGTTGTGAGATTTCTGAGTTAGGCACTTGTGATGGGTAATTCCCTGTGCTTTAGGCAGTTTCATGGGAAGGAGGGGCACCTTCCACGGTGTGTTTCCTGCAGGAATGGCCGCTGGGATCGCCTCCTGTGGTCTTAGCATGTAGCGATCAGGCGCTTGGGGCTGAGGGTCTGAGGGTCTGGCACTGGAAAATCCGCCATGACATGGGGATGCTTTGCCTTTGCAACATGGGGAGTTTCCTGCTGTGGTCTATCGGATGAAGTACCAATGGGAGATTGGAGATTGTGAACCAGCATCTTTGCAGATTCCGTTCGCGGCAGGCACCATTGGTGGTGGTCAGCGAGTCAATGCAACGTCTGAATCAGATCATGGCTGGCTCCAAATTGGAGCTACTTGACTCAGATGCGAGGGTAGAGGGTCAAGTCACTGGGATACCCATGGACCCACACAATCGGTCATGTTTGTTATGAAACCATCCATTTTTCCAGAGGTCCAATCATTTTGACCCGTACCCAGTTCATAAAGTTGAGTTCAGTTTCCAAGGGTCCAGTTCCCTCCAATTGCAGTCGGAGCTAAACATGTCTTCGCCAGAGTCGCTCACTGGAGGTTCATCAGTTCCAGCAAATGGTCTTGGCCCCTGGAAGGCCCCTCCTGGAGTATTGCCGGGCACAGATTGAAATAGACATAGACTCCTCAGACTGTGAACCATGAGAGGAACAGCTCACCCAACTTGGATTCGGCTGAGAAGGATTAGAATCCCCTTAAGATGCAGGGGGAAGGCCGAAAGATCAAAATGGAATTCCAAAATGGCGCGTGGTAGACTCACAAAACCATGCGGGCACACTATAAAACTGGTGAGTAATATCTATTAGTGGACTACAGCCTGATGCAAATCACTTGAAACAGGATATTCATGTTGTAAGTAGCTAATCCCGTGGCCTCTATGCGTTTCACACGTATCAACTTGTCCTCCTGCTTGAATTTTTGTTTCCAAAAAGTAGAGGGCCGTTTGTACGTTTGCTTTTTGGAAGATCTTGGCCGTGCTTCAGAGTCCACACGATTCTGGAGACGTTCGCATTTCCACAGAATCTGGTCACGGAGAGTAAAGGATAAGACACGGTACAAGACCTGAGGGACCGACATTGACATCTGACCCCAGCGACAGGACAAGAAGTTCTGGATCAAATCGCCTGCTTTGTGCAGACCTTGGTGCCGTTGCCCGAGCTTCGCTGTGAGGTGCCAGAGCGACCCTGTACTGCTGTTCTGAATCACAGCCCCTGCCAGTTGCGGGTTTGTTCCAACGGCCCACAGAGTGGGTGAATCTCCCAATTTTTGCTGGTGAAATCCCTGTACAAATCGCAGATGAATCCCAGACTTCTGCCGAAAAAGTGTTCAACCCCCCCAAGCCAGCAGCATCTACAGGTGACCAATGTCTTCGCGTGTGAAGATCAGCGTCCCATCCACGTCATTGCGCCGGAGTCTGGCCCGGCCACGGCTAACATTCTCTACTTGGGGTGCCTTGGATTTGTTTAGCCCAGCAGATGCACTGGGCAGAACCCACAAAACCACAGAGGGCATTGGCAACCTTGGCTTGTCAGCATCATCTAATGTGTCATTTCGATGTGTTGCAACAGAGCTAAAAACAGATCTTGCACTTGAGCTTCAGCATGAGTGAAAGACACAACATCAAAATTCGTCCAGAAATGGCTACCCGAATACCTCAAAATGCCCCTAGTTTCGTCCAGCTCCAAGGCTTCCTCGGTTCATTCCTTTTGAACTGCAACTCCCGGCCTTGAAGACCTGGGATCCTCAATTGCAGCTGGTGGAAGTTGTGACTCTTCAACCATCTTTTTCTTTGGCTGGTGATGGCTGGTGGAAGTTTTTTTTTGTTTTTTCCCTTTGAGGTTGAACACCGTTGTTTCATCCCAACCAAGGGTTGCAGTGTTAGTACCATGATTACCATCAGCGACTGATCACCGAGTCTGGCGAGCAGTGCCTCAGGTGAAAAGATTGCGAGTGAAGATTTGGGCCATCATGGAGGTGCGTCATTCCATGCCAGGCAAATGTCTAGATGTCTATGGTACTCGTATTTGGAACTAGTTTGGATACTTAACTTTGGAACTTGTTTGATTTGTTTGGTCTTAAAACAAGCCTTGACCAAACTATCCCGAAACTATCCTTGAACTGTGCTTAAACCTTGACTTGAGCCAAGTGTGGAGGATCAAAGCAGCTGACTAACAGCCTTGGGCCTTGTTGTGCAGGACAGTATAAGCTCTGCTTGCCTTGAAACAGGCGTGGGGATGGATTTTGACCCCTGGGCTGTTGATCCTTGGGGGTACTTGCTCCTGTATTGTGGTATCACGCTTCGGGGGAACACTCCTATCTATGAAACACTATTATAGTCAAACAGAGTTCATTGGGGTTGACATTCCGGAACATTAAGATGGATGCACCAAAGTACTTTTCACTAGCATCAAGTTCGCAGCACATATTATATTCTTCCAAGCAGCAAAATATGCCTTTGGGTGAGACTTTGAGGACAAGCTTCTTTGAGGAGTCAAGAGCAACTAGTTTTTTGATTCCAGAATCGATTTTACAAGTGGTTCAGAATAATGATTAGAATATATATATATAATTATTAATATGTATATTATATATATATTATATATGGTCAGAAGTCTGTGAATAAATTACTGGTTTCAGGATTGGTTTCACGCTTTGGGGAGCCAGCTCCAGCCTGCTGCAGCCTCATGTGGGGCGTCTGCTAGTCCACTGTTTGGACGCGGATGTTGGTTCTGAAACCTCTATTGTCATTATCAGTTGTTGGATGAAAACGAATGTGCACCCCCAATATAGTTGTTGGATGAATATCAATCCATCAATACATTCCATAACCTCATTTCTAGTCGTTGGAACATTGGTTCAGTTCTTAATGCTCATGGTTGCTCATGGAGGTTCATATGCATATATTATTTAACTATTCGGTGAAAAAACATGAAAACACCAGTTCCAAAAATCAGTATCCTTGATATGTTTCTTTTACCGATGATCTGTTCCAAACATCTTCGAAAAATCACTTATATATATATATATATGAACTAATGACTAGTAATTAATATAAGTGACTTATGTCAGGTTAAAAATCATTAGTTACTTATGACTAACCATCACTTACCAGTGATTTGGATCAGGTGATCCCAAAGATCTGCTCCATGAGTTGACCTCCTTGACCAATGCGTTGCTCCCAGAGCTGGGTGGAAATTTCCTGCACCTTGGCGTGGTCCCCGTCGCTGTCGCGATGGAAGTGGAGGTGGTCATTGGAAACATGGCATTTTTTTAGGCCATTCATGGAACAGAATTGTATGATGAAGCACTAGATTTTTATAGATTTTTGTGTACCCTATTTTTGGATAGCCTAACTTTGGGAAGGTGGTGTGACGGGGGAACTTCTATTTGGAAAGCTGAAGATCTTGATGCCGAAATCTCGGAAGCTGGAGATCTCCTGATCAGCGATGATTCCAAGGCTTGTGGACAGCACCTTTGGTTCTGGCGTTCCACTGGCGTGGCAGTACAGGTGGGACTACATCTCAGTCCGGTGTTTCTCTTGGAAGGAGTCAGAAGCCTAAAATGGAAGGCTGCACCTAGCAGAAAAGCTCACAGCATACAGACTCCAAGAATCCAGGTCAATGAAAGGATGTTGCCATTGTCCAGCACACGCAACTGATGAGAGGTTTGGACCCAAAGCAGTCTGGCTTGCCAGGTCGATGTTGTCGGGCGTGATGATTCTGAATCTTGGAGCAACATCTGTTGAGTTGCCACTGATTGCCACATACGATTCTTATATAATTTTATGAGAGTTTGAGGTGGGATATACAGAAAACTGATGGAGCTTGTACATAATTCTTCAACATGGGGCCATCCGCATGTTGCGTTTGAGGAATTGCCACCTGTTTATGGCTCCAGACTTTGCCAGCACCGAATCCGGGGGCAAAATCCAAAAAAGGACACGCCGCTGCCAACTGATCTGATGTGGGTATAATCGGTATAGCAAAGTCAGTGCTTGGATTGGCTTGGATTTTCTCTGACCAGGATTCAACCAGTGACCTTTGGGTTTACCAATATTTGTATCAATTAGTATAACCAATGACTGGAATTTCAATCGCTATTTGAACCATTTATATATAATATATAAATATAACCAATACTAACGAATATAACCTTTGAGTTTACAACAAATGGTGGCTTACATATGTGATTCCCATCCAACAATACACTATTCATCTTCAGCGTTTGTGCACAGCAGGATGGCTACTCTGGGCGAGATGTTTGCCAAGCGAGACGAGGACAGCATGGTGACATCTCGCAAGCGCGGATGACACGGTAGCTCTTTGCAAGGGCTTTGTATTGGTGGATTAATCCCATTGAAGTACTGCAACTTGTAGTTTTCCGGTGAGTTGAAACTGCATACCATGCCACCAGCAGAGACTGCAGACTCTTTTCATGGGGTACCAACTTCATGCGAATACCACTGTGTGCTGTCGGAAGTGCCGTTTGGAATGTCGCTGTGACAGGAGAAGATCCTTGCGACCCTGCCGGACTTTATGTATCCCAGCGGAGGGGCAGAGGGCGTGGAGGCAACGAAGAAGCGCTACAAGGACCCAGCGACCCAGCAGAGTACTGCCCAGCTGCATCATTTTTTGTGTAGTAAAGACCAGAACTCATGTCTATCCCATCCATTTCTGGTAAAACTAGGAATGGCTTGTGGTTTGTGGTTTACCCAACAGCCTAGACACTTGAAACGATTCTTGATGTGTTTGTCCTGAAATGAGTGGTACGCCCCAGACATCTTAGACTCACTTCAAAATGTTTATTTTAATTTCTTAAAGTGGGGGGGTCCCTGAAATAAATCATTCAACATTTTTTCAGAGCCCCCCCGTCATGGAGAATGACTCGACATTGGATCGCCCTGCTTCGCCCTGCTAAAAAGGAGGCCACCAGCAGAACCTCTGAGAACTTTTGGAAGATCTCAGCTTTGCAGCCCTCATGGAATTTCCAGCCTCCCGGCCTTAGAAAATGATGATTTTTGATAGGCCATCTCTTGGGTGTTTGGACAGCCAGGATAAGAAGTACAAACAATCACCATGATAGACGCGATCCTAAGAACACCCTCTCCATTCATCCTTCTGTGGACACCCAGGTGGCTCCTCTGTTTGAAAAAAACATCGCAGAGGAGTCCATCAGCTCATCATCCCTTCAAACACGTCGATGCAACTGCCTGGTCTGGATAAATCATGAACATTACATGATGACATGATGACCAAATTCATCTGAAGGCGGTCCATATTGACCTTCTGGGGCTGTCGGAAAATGGGTACCCTGGGTCCCCCCAATATATTGTGGTTGATCCGTTGATTCCCCGAAGGTTTGGACACAGATTTTTTGTTGGTCAACTTATGTACTTGTATTCCCCCATGGTTTCCTGGATATCCCCAGGGCTTTTACTGAGATCTTTCTGGAAGACCTAGGCACATCACTCAGATCATCAGCTCACTGGAGGAATGGCCTCGAGATGATCTGAAGCCGGTGTCTGGGCCGAAGGAAGGCGAAAAATGGCGGGAATTTCTGCCACATTTGAATGTTTTCATCAATGGATTGGCTTAAGGGAAAATTTACAGGAAAGCCCCATAATCCATGGGAAAATCTATGGTTTCCTGTAGATTTTCCCTTAAACCAATCCATTGTTTCCAACAGCATTCCCTTGAAATCAGCGAGGGGAATTCGTTTCACCCATGGGCTTGTGAGCCACCACGCCAGCTCACATCGGCAAATCAAGTTTCTGCCTTCCCTGAGCCTCCCTTCCGCGCGTGGCAAATTTCACCCCCGAGGTTTCGTCTCACTACGAAAAACAAATACTCATACTGATACTCTGATACTCATCATTTTATGAACTGAGTACTTAGTAAGACAACATTACATCCAACACGAAGAATCACATCCCCGCTACATCTTCCCCATTTTTCACTCGCACATCTCCACCTTTCCTCAGCCCAGGTGGTCCTGGCCTGCAGCGACCAAGCGCCGGGGGTTGTGGTTACAGAGTCCATGCAGCGGCTGAATCATTTGATGGCGGGCTCTGAGTTGAAGTCCCTTGGAGTGCTGGGTGATGCTTGGGCCATGGGGTTTGATTCAAGCCACGGTGCATGGTGAATCATGGTGATGGTGGAGTTGAATGTGGTTGTTAGCTGACATTTGCACCTTGAAATTCTGCTTGTAATGCGGTTTTCTCCAGTTGCAAAGCTGCATGGGCCGACGAGAAGTTAAGAAAGACCCTGTTGTTCCATTCTCATGTGGACAGCAAACTATTGGCAAACCATACCAATTTCTATACTCCAGAAAAAATCAACAAACACACATACCTTGTTTTACCAACATTTGGGGTCTTACAAACCTCAAATCCTCAAGAAGCTTGGGGATGATTCTTTGTGCTACTGTTAGCCACTTTCCAAGGGCTTCACTTGAAAGCTCCCCATCGGGCAGTGGGCCCAGTGGGCTGAGGTTTATCTCCTCCAGCAAGTGGTCCTGGCCCCTGGAGGGTGAGGAGGTCATCGCGGATGTCACGGTTTTCCTGGATGCTTTGCTGCCTCAACGGATCTCCGAGGACCACTGAAGCTGGAGAAAAGATGGAAGATGTGTAGAATATCTACTGATTTTTGGTGATTTGAAAGCTGGTTTTTAACACTTTTTTTATTTGGGATTATAAATCTCACTTGACTCATAACCTTCAGGTGGCCGTCGAAAGGACCTCATATAGTTGCTCCCTTCTGGCATGATCAAAAGACCTTCCCCTGCGCCCCTGCGCTGCCTTCCCCATCTTCGAAGACCCAGTAGAACTCCTAACCGGTTCCTGATTTTAAATACAGGCCTCCACATAGGGATGTGACAATATGATATAGGCCACAAGTTCATGAAACCTTAGACCCTTGGATGTTTTGGGAACAGAAATAACCCAAACGTGAGATCCCTGTGGTCTCAAAATCTTTGAGCCCGGGCACACAGGAGGAGACAACTAGAAAATCACTTCCACTTCTTGGGCAACAGGCGCTGCCAGTGATAGGAGCTGCTCAAGTGCACGGAGAGCCTGGTATCTTGGGATCGTTTTCGGTCTGAGTGGAAGGTTGGTTCTACATAATGTTTTTTTTTAATCCTGGAATCGTGTAAGACATCAACACAAACACCAACACCATTCTGAATGACGTTCACCTCTTGAGTCAACCGATGGATCTTCTCCATCCTGTTTTTTTTTGAGAGGACCACCGTGATCTTCTCATCCAGTCGCAGGTGATCCTTCCTCCTATTGTGGAAAGTGCGAGTTGCAATCCATGCCGCAACGCTTGTGGAGAGGTGCATCAAACACCGGCTGAAGGGGCTGGAAGGAGAGCTTCGGGGGGATTTGGACATAGGGGTTTGTCTGAAACTAGGGTACCCCATTCCATCCACTGGTTCATCATCATTATCCCCATTAAATTATTGTCCTAAAAAAGAGATATATTTCCCATTTTCAGACACACCCAAATGTCACATTGTTGATTGTTTGTCCCACCCACTACATGTTACATGTGTATAAATAATAAACAAATAAATAAATAACATAAATGAATAAAACTTATACATATGCTGTATATATATATATAAATACGTATATATACACAGTATATATGTATCTCCATTAATGTTTGTTGGTTGAATCCCCAAATCTGGTTGGTTGAAATCCATAAAAAGACCACCATGAGGATGGCTAGTGCAACGATTTTTAGTTTCATCGTTGCAGCAAGACACCGGACCTTGGTTGACATGGACAGCACTGGAGGACATTTTGATCCTATATGCCATATGTGGGGCGCGTATATGTACCAGACTTATACATACATCCACACATACATGTCACAAGAATACATGAGATAGTATGTTATATATGGCGTCGCTATATATATATATCTAGACATGCGTACTATAGTACATTTGTAGTATTAATACACAGATGTTGAAAAGCAGCGGCTTTGGAGGCGCCTATCCTCTGTCCAGTTCAGTGAGCGGTGGAGATGTGCGCTCGCTATCTTTTCGAACCTTTGGGTATGGGTCAATCTGTTGGAGTACCAATGGACCCACAATTTATGCTGATCATTGGATCTGAAACCATCCATTTTGTGTTGATCATTGATCCATACCCATCGGTTGTTTCCCAGATAGCAAAAACATTAAAAAACACCCATAAATGCATCCTTTGTCCCGCTCTGTGGTTGATGAAAAATCTTATGAGCAGCACACACACACAACTATTTCTTTCAATTAGAGGACAACATTGTTGGCCATGGCAGCTCTCATTTCCAGTGGACCTAGCATCCAGTACCTGTGCCATGCTGTGGTGGATTACCACCCAACAGGTATTCATATCCCCACGTCCTCTTCTGTGTTGAGATCAGCTTCTCTTCCCAGATGTTGACAGCAAACTCGAAAGTTTTTTTTGAAAGCCAGTTCTGGACTTTGTGGCCCGCAATTATATGCTTCAGCCATTCTTCAGGAAGTTGAACATCTGAAACCAACCGACGGATGTCCGTTCTGCTGAGCAGCTCCCGCAGCGGATGTTCTGCGTTGAAAGCCTTGCCCCCCAGTTGAACCTATGGGTGGAAAACTGGGTTCTATACTTCTTTGGGGGTCGGCGAAACTACTAAATGAATCCATGGACATTAGGAAATACTTTGAAATGGCCCCCCAGTTGAGTTGTTGGTGAAAAACAATCATCTCAAGATGATTGGTCACGAAAGTTCGATACATCCCCATCTCACATCTTGGAGCATGGATCTACAAGTGGAACACATGGGAATTATGGGTCTTTGTTCAGCAGCTCCCGTTGCTGACGCAGAAACAGGAAGTTACCCGGCCGTTTCTGGTCTTCCTTCTGGCTGTGACTTGGACCGCAGGATTTTCGCAGATGAATAGGGGAACGAACATGAACAGAGAGAAGCAGGGGATACCTTGGGGTGATCATCATTTGAGAGAGCCCTGGGTGGTCAATGGCATTACTGACCAGAAATGGAGATCTAAAAGAGTTTTTTTTGGAGGAACCAAGGATCCGGATACGGGGCCAGCTTTGAACTAGCGACATTTTTATTTTGGCGACATGGCACTGGTCAGAATCTTGGACAAGTCTATGTAGACTCACAAACTTGTATATGATTTGGGCATGCATAGAGAGAGAGAGTGTCTCGAATGTATCCGAATCATTATATACAGACAGTTGCATTTGCCCTTTTTCGAAGACTTCAACGGTCCAATTCTTTGTCAAAGTCCGCTCGCAGTGAAACTGCTGAGTGAGCATCCTTACCAGTCACTGCAGTTTCCCATTCCAATGATTCTGCCTGACAGTTTCTTTTGGCAAAGCTCTTCCGTGGATTCCAAGTTAATGACAGCCTCATGTGCCGGCAAAAGAGGGGCTAAAAAAATCCCATTCCCATTCCGTAGGGGGACGGTCAAATCACCATGGACATCCCCCATAGTAATGATCAAATGCCCATCCCTCTGCAGTAAGGCGTACTGACCTTCGTCCGCTTTGATTCTGCCCTTGTCACGCCTCAAGAATGATGGTTCATATTGTGGGGACCATCATGGCCCAAGAAATATTGGGATCATTGTATTGTAACAGGTCCAGATACCGCGAAGATAGAATTGATTTTTGGTACCAAGATCATCCAAGATCTCCAATACACAGTAAATGGCAACTTGAATTGAATTCCATCCATACGATTTCGTTTAAGCGTCGTGTTCTAGTTATTGCGCGGTGAGCCCATGGTGATCACCCTGGGGGGAGACGTCCTGACAATGTGATGACCGTGGGTGAAGATGATCCAGCATTGCATTACGTTCATCATAGATACCATGTCTACTTGTAGCTTGCAACTGAAAACGCAGTTCTGCAAAACTATCCAGCAAATTGCAGTGGAGAGGAGCTAGAGACATTCATTCAAGGGCTTCTGCCTGGTGGGTTTTTAGGGTGACACTAGTCAATTGCTAACGGCCTTGATCCAATAAGGGCCCCCCCTACCAGATTGGTAAACGGAGCCCCACAATCCCAATCCCACTTTGATCGGAACACCTCCAGCCAGTAGTACTTTCACCAAATTTGAATTTTGGAATCTGGGGATGGGACTTTACTGCGACTTAGGGCGATTGCTGCTGCTTCAGGCTTCGTCTTGACAGTCAGCCGCAAAAAGGGCTGCTCTGCAGGAGCTTGGATGGCCATGGAAATCTTTCATGCGCCTTTCATGCTATGATCTACATGGCTACATTGGGATCGTGTTTTGGGGGGCAAAAGTTGTCGTTCAAGGTTCCCAGCATTTGGATACTTTTGCGGCCCTTAAGATCCCTTGGACGTGAACGATTAACATCAAGGGTCGAAAGAGAAACAGACTTGCTATGAAAGTCAACTTGCCCAAGTTACAGCTTAAACCCAGCGTTTAGGTTCATGGCTCCCACTTGAATCACTCGCCCAGTTCAACTGACCACCTAGAGTTTCATAATTTCTGATTCTTGGATGCTCTCTAAGCTCCAAATGTTCTGGACACAGTTTGCATCTGCGGTTTCATGTGAGGAAGCTACCACTCCTCAAGAACTCGCTAACAGCATCCCCAGCATCCCCATCGCCATCAAGATGTCAGAGATGCTGAGACCCCAAAAAGCAACCCCCAAAAGATATAACAGGTCTAGTTGACTTCTATTCAAGTAGGAATTTGCTTTCTATCCTTTTGGTGGTTTCTCTCTCTCTCTCTCTCTCCACATATATATATATATACATAGATATATAGACAGTATATACATATGTGTATTTGCAATCCATCCACCTGGTGTCAACATTTCCAGCATGCCCCCACTGCCGCTTCCGAGGTTGCTTGGCTGGTCTGGTCTCCAGCTGGATCGGCTGGAAGATGCACACCGCACAACTGCCGCAGGACCTTGGACTGCCCCGTGGCCCCGGGCCGTTGGAATCCACCAATAGGGGATTGGGGAAGCGATCAACCATTGTTGTAAATGGGGATATACTGGATATGGGACTATTGGATCATATATTTTTTGGGGATGAACATCTCTAGACACCAGCTACTGTAGGGTTGAAAGGCAGGCTACGGTTGTGACCATTTGCCTCTGACTGCCGCAGGAATCCAAGATTCCCAGTGACTCAGGGGTTCCACACGAACTGCCCGGAAGCCTGGACTACCTTCCCAGATTCATCGAAATTGGTTGGAAATAAGGTGCACATCCACATTCACAAGATCAAACACATATGCAGCATGCATATTTTTTTGTCAAATGCACATACTCATTATCCGTATATAGCACATTAGTGTCTATATTGATATGTATCATTTAGTGGTACAAACTTATTTACATCATCATTCCAGTATATATATATATTCTATATTGATATGTATCATTTAGTGGTACAAACTTATTTACATCATCATTCTTTACATCATCATTCCAGTATATATATGTATATATAAACGATCAGTCTATATGGTAGTACATACATCCACCCGTGGTCACGATCGCATCCGGCTGACCAAGGCTCACACCTCCCCCTGATCGCATCGATACCACCATGCGGCCGTCCTTGAAGAGTGCCGGGAAGGTTTGCACCGTGGCGGGGCTGTGGCCATTTTAATAGGGAAAATGAAGGGAAAATGATGGTGAAATGAAGGGAAACATGATGGTGAACCAGTGGATTGAATGGGGTATCATCAGACAAAACCATATTTTTTTTCCAATCACACAACAGGTTTCTATTTTCGGAGGCTTTGAAAAGGGCGTGGACCTCTGCTCAAGTGTGCAGATCAGCTCGAGGTAACTCTTGGGCAGCGCCAAAAATTGCAGAATCGTTCACCAGCTTCGGTTTGTTGTATCCTAGAAAGATTCGATGTGTTTTTTCAACATAACAAATAAATCACCCACATACACGAAATTTCATGACTTTTTCACTGGAGGCACCGCCCCAGCCCAAAGCGACGGTGCCCAGTCGAGCAGGAGCCGGCTCCACCAGTGATAATCATCTCACCTGCCATTGTTCACAGCATTTGTTCGCCTGCCGTTTGTTCATCAATGATCATGATAATTAAAACATATATAAACATCATCATGACCAATGATGAATGATCATTTATTTTAATTCATTATGATCATGATCATTGATTTAGGGATCATATACAATAGCGGGTCAATTTTCAATACTGGTTGTAACCGTGATAAAAGGAATGACCATAGTGATATGTTTGAGAATAACGACAATACTTCTGATCAGATGATCATGATGATAACGATAATGACAATGGTATTGATCGTGTTATTGATAATGTTAATTGTAGTGATAGCGACAATGTTTCTCGCAATAGCAAGACAATAATGATTGGTTTAGCCAACAATCTGCTGGATGAGAAGAAAGGCTAGTTTCGTTGACCTCGCAAAACCTCGCTTTGACCCTAATTTTTGAGCCATAGCCATGCTGATGAGGGTGGTAGAGTCTCATTTGAATGCATTGGTATTCTTAATAGACCAATAGGAAGTTGAGTTGTTGTCACCCAATTGGGGTGGCCATCAAAAGACTTGCAGGGCAGCTCAAAGAAGTCAGCTCTCCACTCAGAGAAACTGAACAAAAATCAGGTGAGGTGTTTTTCTTAAAGCTTTGTCCTTTCGTGCCCTGTCGTTCTTTCATAAATGAAACCTGTTGCAGATCAAGACAGTTTGCTTGCCAGGACCTAGCCAGTCAGGACCCAGCCAGTCGGCCAGTTCCGTCAGTGAGGCGCCAGCTTTCCGGATGGCGATGAATTGAGACCCCATTGATCTCCATGGGACGGGGCCAAATCACGAGATCTCAAGACACACTCGAGCACTGCCCAAAAGCTCTGTTGGTCGTTCTAGTAACGAACTAGCTGGATCTAGTTGGTTTACTGGAGATATCATCTGGTAGAATCCCAATCAACAAACCAGTTTGAGTCACCTGACTCCAGGCCTCACAGCCTGCGGCTGCAACGGCGGCTGCGCCGTCGGCTGTGCCTTCGTCCGCCCCCCAGCCGTCATCGTCTGCACAGCCTTCAGCTGCCGCACAGCCTGAAGCTGCGACGGCTGTGCCGCCGGCAGAATCTGAGCCGAAGCCCCAGACACCACGGTGTCAGGATGGAAGATGGGGCATGGGTCAAAATCATAGCCTAAAGTTGGGATGGTCATTGTGGAAGGCAAACATGGGACTTTTTGAGGTCCTGAAATTTGACAAATCAATGTGGCTGAGGACTCACCAGACTGATGCGGAGCCTGAGGCTCCTTGTATTTCAAGCTGTCAGGTGGTAAAGATGTTGGAGCCCCAAAGTGTTAGACATACTGTATCCTGTCGCAAGAAAAGGGTATAGGTTGAACACTTCTTGTAGTAAACCCACTCATTTTCATGGGGAATTTCTCCTGTTTTCGGCGGTTTTGAAACGGTTTACCCCGTTTCACCCATCCCATCTTTTTGGTACACAACGACTTGACTCGTCTCGTCAGCGCCAGGGCTTGGACTTGACCCACAACGGAGCACCCACCGAGTCCTTCTGAGGGCTTGGAAGTGGCGACCAGTTGACCATGCCATGCGCTGGGTGCCCAGCTTTACCAATCTTGAAATCATTCAGCTGTTGAAGTGAACACGGATATGTCATGATATGTCCAATACGCCCCGAAAGCTTGACCATTTCGCTTTAGCCTGCGGCCTCAAAGCGGGAGCAGGTCGCTCGCGTCGAAATCCTGACCTGGAAAAAGTGACCCCAAAGGCTGCTAGGTCGTTGCAATGATGAGGATAATGCTCCTGCTGGTGGTGATGTTGGTGGCGTTGTTTTTTTTTTGGTACCGATGATCAAGATGGTACATACCAGTGACCTATCATCTGATTTCACTCGACCCTCTACTCGTCGTCCCTCCGGCGAGTTGGTTTGCCGCGCAGATCTTTCCCTTTCCGAACAAGAAGTTCTCCTTCAACCTCACTCACATCCTGCTGTTTGCCATCCTCATTTCGTGAGGGGCACCCAGAGATGTGAGCGCTGAGGGATTTGAGGGAGCCTCATATCCTGCTCGGTGCCCGCCTCAGGTTGCTGGCTATGACCCACCATCCAGCACAGGCGGGAAGCTGCTTTGAACCAAAACACTGGGAAACCATATCATCCATATCTGATTTTCATGTAATTGAACAATCAGACGATCTTCTGTGTGCTGATCCGGCGCCAGGATGCTTTGCAGACTGAGGCGGAAAAGAGCGTCAAGAAGGTCCGGGGGGAGAGGAGCTCGGTGAGTTCTGACCCTGGGGGAAGCTATGGTCCCCATTCGACCAGACTCCAAACATAGTGAGTGGGGATATGTGGGGATAAACTGGGCAGTAGATGGGTATATAGAGGTTTGAGGTAAGGAATCTGAGTCTACTGAACCACCCTGCCGATGTGAGCTTTGAACCTAAACTTACATGTTTGATGTGGATCAAATTGACCTTGTGTCCACCATTGACCTTGACCTTGTGGCAACAAGATACAGCGTTGCCACATCGGTTGCCTTGACCTTCCAGGCAGACAAGAAGGAGAAGGAGAAGGTGGGGCAGCCTTCCAGTTGAAGCGATTTGCGGAACTGCTGCATCCATGTTACAATCACAACCACCAACAAGATCAAAAAGATAGACAGATAGACAAGTGATTTACCACTATTCTAGTAGAATTTCAGTATGTATCACTATTATCTAGTAGTATTTCACTCTTCTATCCTTTTGGTGATTGCTAACCCTCACTCATCACCAACCTCATCCCCTGTCCAAGCGGATACAGATCCCTTACGAGGCCAGCAAGGCAGAATGAGCAGCCGAAGAGCGGCGTTCGTTGGCATGTGCAGAAGCCGAGGATAGTGAGCATCAGGACTTGTCCAACCTTTGGTACAGGTCACCATTTATGGCATGGCCCTGGGGACCCAACAAATGTAGCGCAAAATACATCCATTTTTGTTCAATTTTTGGGCACTCAGGCTTGACCCATGCCCAGATGGAAATGGCAACACCGAAACAGCTGGGGCATCTACTGCTCCTCTGCAGAGTGGACCGAATCGGCGAGCGCTCGCCGTGTCTCTGCAATCGGCCAGCCGAGCGTGGAGGAAATCGGTGCTTTTTGGATCTCTTCTGTGGATTTGAACTCTGTTATCCTATGGGACTCTGGTAATCAAACATGGCCAATTAGGAGATCCCCCACAAATGGAGGATTTTCCATTGCCATGCTTGATTACCAGAGGCTAGCTTCTGGATGTTTTGGACACAGTCATCATATTCTGATAACAGGAATCTCAGATGCTTGAGGATATTCCTTTTTGTCTCCTTTTGTGCTAACATGGGTTCAACATGTTTGCGAGACTTGTGGCCTTAATGTATCTTTGAGCGCAAAAGCCCAAGGTGACCAAATTTGCATTTGGGGCCTGGATCTTGCATTTCCAACTCATCCAGTTGAAATGTAGTGCTTCAGAAATCCTTAGATTGGCTGCGAAGCTTAACCTTTCGTGGGCTCAACGACGCAGATGGTGATCGTCCTTTCGTTGGAGCCGACCTCTTATCGGCTCAAGCCAAGTAGTAGAGAGCTGCGGGGAGCGCGCTCGCTGGGGAGCCGTCACCGGCCAGGTCACAACGGAATTCCCCAAGGGCTGACATACGCCATACGCGCGCACCAGGATAGTGTGAGCCATTGATCTTGGATGGACAGGCATTTGTCAGCCTATTCAAAGTGCTTCTTAGATACTGGGATATTTGCTTTGGAGTATGTAAGTCCACTCTCCAATGATGTCACTTTGGAAGGATTGTGAAGAAGCTCCAACAAGTATTCTGGATCGGATAGGGATGCAAGCAGCCAAGGGTACTCGGTGAAAGAACGGTTTCTTCCGCCATGATTGCAGAAACTAGTGTTGATGGTTCAGAACCCTCCACCAATGGTTGCAGGGTTTAGGGTACCCAGCCACTGCAAGTAAACCATCACCATGTTGAATGGAACTCAGTTATTTACAAGATCGGTTTGGTTTGAAAACGCATGGAACGGCCATGGAACAACTCAGTCTGGTGGCACCAGGGAAGTCATGGGGGCCTACAAATACTTGGAGGAGATGTGGAGGAAGAAGCAATCAGAAGCTTGGAGCGACTTCAGCTGGGGGAATGCCATGTCCAACAAAGGCGTTGACGTATTCGGGAGATGGGAAATGAGTTGGCAATTCTATATTTGGCTGCTCCCATTGGATTCCATGCCTCCCATTTCATCCCACCTGCCATGAGGATGTGATGCGCTTCTTAGCCCGGCTCCGAAACTGGGAGTTTCGTCAATTGCCACTTGGTTTACTCATGTCGGGTGAGATTGCGATGTGTTGGTTGAGGGTTTCGAGTTTCATGTGAGTTGAGGGGGTAGGGCTTCGATTGTCATCGATTTTCAGTATTTGGGGCTTTGTTTCTCAGGTTTTCTTATCAGAGGGCGCTCACATTTGGAGCATGGTTTTCAGCGACAGAATGCATCAGTGCACTGGGTTGTGAACAAGAGATCGAGACACGACAAAACACATGATGCAATGCAAATAAGAGCTGGTAGAATCGTAAGCACAGAACAGATGTGGAATTGGGACATCTTTTCAAATGACATGAGACATCATGGCTCTAGGTTGGCTTTTTAGCATCTTAGAACAATTTTTGGAGAATTCAAACCTTCCATACCGGCTTCGTTGCATTTGGGTACTTCACAGACATCAATGCTGAACAAAATGTGTTTTCTCCACTGATTCGATGATAAAAAAATGATACCCTGATAACAAATAATCCCAGTTAAAGCTGATGTGGAGATTAAGATATTTGAGATGGTACCAACAAATCTCAGTTAAGTGACATTAGTTATTACCAACAAATAATATCTTAAGATGTAAGATTAAGATATTTGAGAATTCGAGCTGACCATGGACAATCTCCCCATGTTTTCGTAGGTCAATCCTCTCCAGGCCAGCGGTTCATCGATGCTCGCGCCCCACTCGTCCAGACAAAGCTCGGAAGGTTGGATACAAGGCGGATCTCAGGAAAGCGACAGCATATCTAAGACCTTTAAGATTGGCCATGTGGGAATTGTTGACCCGTGACCCCGTGACCTGGTGACTGGGAAAGATCTCTAAGACCGACTGGTTGGTTTGGGGGATTTGGGGGACTGGGCAGATCAAATTCGATGAAGTGATCGAACAGATCAGGAAGACGAACAGATCGGTTAGGCCATGGCCGAAAAGAAAACAAGAACAGCTTCAGTGGTTCCTCCGATATTCAAACAAAGGCAAGTACTGGTCTCATTTTTTTTGTTGCATCCCTAGCCTTAGCCGGGATGTTGACTTTAAGATTTTTCTCTTTTTCAGGTGGGTCAACCGCCAATCAGCTGGAACTTGACTTTTTTCTGAACCTATCTGCACCCAACTTTCAGAGGCAAAGCAGGGCTATTGCATCTACCGCGTGCGTGTGAAGCGTGGAGATCGCAAGAAGCGAGTGGCTGGGGCACCCGGTGCTCAAGTTGATGTTTGGGGTTTCGATACCACCATTTCTTTCTTTGTTTTGAATCCTGAGAAACATCGATATTCAGTGAATAGGACAGGCACACAGCCACGGCACTTAGGCCAAGGGTATCGTGTACGGGAAGCCTACGAACCAGGGCATCAACAAGTGGAAGGCCCTCTTGTGGTCGGTCACAAGAAAGGAAGCTTTTTAAAGCTTTTAGAGAACATTGCAGGGAAGATCTTTCAAACATCAAAAGTGCATGTGCTAAAGTGGTCTGCAACCCATCTATCACATCTTAAACCCATGCAGCAATGACCCATTCACACGCTGCTCACCACCGTGCGCCGCGGCCAGTCTGTCCGGAACCTGCGCAGCATCGCTGAGGAGCGAGTGGGTCGCAAATGCGGAAGCCGGGAGCCTGGCTTGTCGTGTCAACAGGGGGATCAAGGATGGACAGAGGAATTCCCATGTGGCTATGAATCAATACCTATTAATACCATTTTTAGAGGGATGAACATCCATTTACCAGCTATTTTTATGTTCACCAGGGGTACAAGGTTTTGACCCACTGCCATGTATTTCTTGGTTTCAAGCCCCAACTTCCATATAGACAAAAAGCTTCGTCACTAGTGTCTGACTTGTACCCACTTTTGCTTTTCGCCCTTTTTGGATCACCTCAACACACTACCTGGGCACGATCATGCTTTTGCTTGATTTCAGTGTGCCCTTTTCGGTTGCTAAAATGCTGTGGAGCTTCCAACCTTTACTATGCCTGCCTTTGGAGTTGACCATGTCTTGCGTCATTTTTTGGTCCCAACATTACAACACAGCGGACGAGCTCTTTCCCACGGGCAAACAAACCAGGCCTTCGAGTGCTGAATTCCTACTGGGTGGCGCAGGACGGCTGCCATGAGGTACCAGGTACCAATAGGTGCGGATGAGAATGAATGCTGTAAACTCATGATATTCATGAAGCTTATAAGAAGAAACACATCAACAATTATTGAAGATCGCCTTGTAAGGCTGACTTGAAAAGCTTCAAATGGAATTTCGGGAATCCTCTTGCGGTTGATCACGATGGCTGTGGCGTGCACATTGGCATCATTGCCAATAGGTGGTTGATGCGCTTTTGTGGAGGGGCACGCATCCATTCTATCAGGGGTAGATCTCAGGGAGGTGATAAGGGGGCGGAAAACTGACGCAGAGCCCCAAATCAGCGGCTTTGAATGGGAATATCATGGTGTCATGGAACATCATTTTTCCCAAACTCCACCAATTTGTTGGAGTTCCAAGCCCAAGCCTTCAGATTTTCCCTTTCACAGACACCCATGGATTTTCCCTTTCACGGCTGGTGATCATCATAGCTTGGATTGTCATGACAGGATGCTGTCCACAAGTGGTACGAAGTGGTCATGGTGGATCCTTTCCATTCGTCCGTGGCCTTGGTTTGGTCTCGTGAGAATTTCGGGTCCTGGGAACCCAACGAAATAAAGACATGGGTTTAAGCAGTTGAATCAGTTGAATCAGTTGAATCCAAGGTTGATTTCAGGGATGTCGTTTTTCCGGACCTTGGTTCTGTCCTGCCCTATTCTGACTGTAAGTCATCTCCGCGGTAACCCAAGACGATTCCTGCCGAGGGTCATTCGCAACGACCCCCGCATCAACTGGACTGCAAAGCGCTGTGAGTGTGTCTGAAAAACTGGGAAAAGCGGTATACCGAAATGCATTTTGTTTTTTTTCGGGAGAATCATGATGGCCTATTTTGGACCAACCGAAATTGGATGGTTTAACCACAAAACATCGGGATTTAACGCCCGAAAATTGATTGCGGTTTAACCATCAAACATTAGGATTTGAATTGGGATTCAATCACCAAAACTTGATTTTCGCACAAACAATTGGAATTGGGAGCCAAGAATGGGGGATTGAGAATGGGATGGTTATATACTAGACATGACCAAAATTTGTGAGCCTTTGCGTCCTAAATTTCAATCCATACCCCAAATTGTATGCTCAAAGCATCTCAAAGCAAAGAAATTGAAAGGAAGTGCACTTAAACATAGTCTTTTCTGCCCCAAAGATGATGTTATTAGAGGAAGTATGGACTGATAGAGAGCCCTGCTTGAACCAAGATCCTACGTTCATCATGTTCATCCAGAGCTTCGGAAAATCCTTTGGACAGTGAAAAACCTGGAGGTGTTAGATCCATGGAGGCCGGTGTGTTTTCCCGGTCCGTCGTCCGAGAGGATCTGCAAGCCGGTGATGAAACACCGCGAGTTGCGAGGACTCACAGCTGCCGGCCGCAAGGTGCAGTCAAATGCAGATCGCTTGGTTGGGTCTAACCGTTTTACCAACAGAAAGCTAGATCTAACGGACAAAAATGGAGATAAAATAGAAAGGATATCAACCAACCACAATACATCAACCATAGAAAACATGAGGCGAACAATATCAGAATGAACCATGAGTACAACCAAGAAAGAGGTTTTCACCGCCTGGTGTTCTACGGAATGGTGCGTCAGATCACCCATCAAACGGTTGTGGTTAGATACAAACCATGAATTGTCCCGTTGGTCCTGTCAATAAACCACGTAAATGACCGAAGTGTTGTGTTTATCTTTCAAGCAATTGAAACCTTCCAATCAATCCCATTAATTATATTATGGATATTGATAAAATTGTCTTTGAGTATCCCATCAATATACCATTACTAAATAAAGAACATCCCATCAACATATTGATGATATTTATGGTATGTTGATGGGTTTTTCTTTATTCATATCCCATGACTAATCCCATGAAGCCCATCCATCTCCCATCAATACGCGGGTCGCCAGGCACGTGGACTTCTGAAGAAAGGCAAGCGCGCAACCAAGCTCCGCCCATCCGCACGCGCGGTCTACCGTGGCGGGCTCAGTCTTTGGGGGAGATCGGGTACCAACCTGGGGTTGTCATGGCTTCTCCATCTTAGTGGGATATATATGGATAAGACATTCTGTAAACTATATATTCAACTAATGATTTATGGGGATTTGACATGATTTGACATGGCACATAGTGGAAAAAAACAATGGGATCAACCATTTTACGGCTAGTAAAACGGGGAAAATATGGCAAACCGATGAGTAACAATGAGATTTAAGCCAGCCATTTTACGGCGATATTATCGTCTTTTAGGAACATCATGGGATGCAGCTGAGACAACCGACAATATGGGGCAGGTTTGTGACAAAAAATACTGGTCGGGGATACCCCAAAATGGCCCATGAACATTGAAAACAGCAGTGACAACTTGCCCCTCTTGGTTCATTGATGTGGAGGGTTGAAATGATAGGAATCATTTGGTTGGTGGTTTCATTTTGTTCCACCTTAGTTGGGATGATGTGGAAAGTGACTTAAGATTTTTGGCATGACTCGAATCTGCCAACTAGTGATGTAAAGTCGGACTATTTGCCGCAAAACATGGAGCCCTCTGTCAGTGAAATACACCACAACTGGACCAAGATCGCACTTTGGAGTAAGATGCTTCTTGCGCTATTGAGTTCCTAACACGTTCTGCACCATGCACCAAGAAATTTATAGGAATTATGTTTCTTGTAGATTTGCCTTCAAACCGGCCCAATGCCACTGATTGGAGGGTTTTGTTGGAGTTGCTTCAACGGCCATGCCTTAGGCCGACACAGCTTGATGCGCCTGCGCCGCTACCGCTGAGTGAGTTGAGTCGAGAATGTGCAGAAACTCCGCCTGTGGCAGTGAGAGTCGGCCCCTGGCTGGCAGTGTGCGCAGAAAAAACCAGAGCGGGGCGGAGGGTGCTGAGAAAATGCAATACTAATGCAATAGTACCAGCAAATGGCAAATCGTTGGTGGTGCAAGTTTTTCAAGAACATTTGTGATGTTTTTCGGATTCACAAAGGGGCAAGTGCCTTGAAGCTCCAGATGTGGCTGCTTGGCCCTGCGGTAAGCAGCATGACAACATGGATCCTGTACCTCTCCTGCAGCTTCTTACAGCTTGACAACTTCCGCGACTGCATTTACCTTAGGACCTTAGGATGCAAAACATCGCGATCTGGACTTTGTCAAACGGAAGACACAGATCTATTTCCGCACACATACAATCGACATTTGGTTCAAGATCTGCTGAAAACAAAACATATTTTCGTTGGCGTAGGCACCAGTCTTGCGCCATGGGGATCATTTCGATCCTCTTCTCGGTCACAGGCTTCCACCGACCGGAAGCATGGGCTAAAAAGCCCATTCCGGGGTCGCCAAGACGCTTGGTTGGGACGGATCTGGGTTGGAAATGCCATAGGCCCATGGGCCCATTTCCCCAGGTTTGGTGTGGTAAAATGAAATCCATGAAGTTCACTTGGGCATTGTTTAAGATAATTATCAGAACATTATCAGAACGATGACCACATGGTCTTCCTATTGGGTTGGCCGCATGAGTTGCAACAAAAAATCACACAGCTTTGATATGTTTGATCACCCAGGACGGCGATCCCTAACGAATGGGAACAGCGATTCCTCTGACCTCGCGTCGTCAAACTCTTCCTTCGAAGAAGAGACGGCGATAACCAAGGTTCTAAGGTGCGGTGGTGTCAAGGAATTTGTGGCAAATCAGATGTGGCGGCTTGAACTTAGTAAGTGGGTGGAAAACCCCAATTATAAGTGGATTAACCCTACTTATCCCAATTATAAGTGGTGGCTGGAAAACCCATGGAAAACCATCAGATGCAGGTCAGTGGATCCGTCCTTTTTGGACGACAGCCCGGGAGGGGTCAATGCCCTCACCAGGAAGGGCACGATGGTGACTCGGACAGTGTTGAGCAGTGTTGAACCCCCTACCCTCTGGTAATTTAACATAGCTATTGAAAATGACCATTAATAGTGGATTTTCCCATTAAAAATGGTGATTTTCCATAGCTATGTTAGTTTACCAGAGGGTACCATCTGGTGGTGTTTCTGTTGGTTTTAACATGTTATGACAGGTTATAAATACATGGTTATACACCGTTTCATCATGTTTCATCTATTGGGGAGTGTATGAAGAATCGTTGAACAGGGAATTCCAATGAAAGCCACTTGGTTGGAGATTTTCCAAAAGGCTTTCAAGCCTTGTATATTACTTTATATGACGTGACATACATATCATTTTCCCTTGAATATCTTTCATCATATCCGTCATCAGGGATTTTCCGCTGAGGCGATCACCATCTGCAGCTGCATCGGCTTTCACGCCCTGCGGCTGATCTTGCGGGATGCCTTCTTCCGCTCCGCGTCCTCCGCCAATGCCTTGCTGAAGCGGAAAGTGGCGGAAGCTGGGCGGCTGTGCCAATGATGGCGATTGAAGTAACATAACTTGGGGGTTTAACCAACAACAATAAGGACTTTACCAACCGCAAATGGGGAGTTTTACCAAGAGTGAGGATTTGACCAAACTGGCACATATGGCGATTTCATCTTGAAAATCTGGGTTTCCCAGCAAAATCCATATGGTATCAGCCAAGGTTTGCGGTACCCAGCTATGATGGTACCCAGTACGGTTTCCAACTCATTGGGAGCTGAGACTGGTATCGCCAGGGTTAAATAGACCACAACAATGCCAACTGGTGAATCAAAGTAGACATCATTTTATGTTTGAACACGAATTCTCAAGTGCATCATCAGAACATGAGATGCTTCCAGAAACGAGACGAAACAGCTTGCTACGACAATGTTGCATTTTCAAAAATCAAGACCATAAACTCCAACATAACCCACGATCCCTCATGCGAATGGCGCATGCTAAATGGGGACTAGAATTAGGAGTTGGTTTTTGTGACATTGCGAAACTTGTACCCAACCAAAGATACATTATATCAGTTTCCCAGGATATCTAAGTTGAGCCAAGCAAACGATCTGAAACATGTTGGGATAGTGGTGAGTGAACAAATAAGGGGATGTTGCATGTGATTTCCATAGAAGGATAATTTCTGTGACGCTTGGGGTTCGACCTGGCGATCATTTAAGTGTTTTACAGGCCGGCAGGGCCTGTCATTCGATGCTGAGATGTGCAAGCTTTTGTGGTACCCTCTGGTAAACTAACATAGCTATGGAAAATCACAATTTTTAATGGGAAAATCCACTATAAATGGTCACTTTCAACAGCTATGTTAGTTTACCAGAGGGTAAATCATCCATTTTTTTGGGGTCTGGAATCAGACAACAGCATGAACTTACATTTTCGGCTGTCTGAAAATGTCGGGACGCCACCAAACAAGTTTCATTTTAAGTTATGGTTAGTGGTTCGTCTTCATTTCCCCTATTCGCATGCCCTTTTTGGGTGTGCATCCCCGAAGTCGTGTTTTTTTTGGGGGGGTTCTCAAGGACACCTAAATCTGAAGCATGAGTTCACTAAGGAGCACTATCTACTCTCGGCAGCTTACTGGCAAATTAAGGTTTGTTTATAAATCCGAAATTCACAGTGTGCTCGGGGCAGCTCACACCAACATCTTGCGTAGAATCCATCTACTGCATCTGACCTTTTCGTTGGTCATTCGTGCTTCCAGATCCCGAGTCTGTATCTCCTTAATGGCTAAAGCTAGTTTTTGATGGTTAAATCCTCAGCAAACATGGCAATTTTCCCAATTTTTCATGGCGTTCCATGACTTTTTCACAACGGAATCCAGGCAATCCATGCCTTTGGCTGCTCCTATTTCAGCTCCTTGGGCTCAGCGATTTCAGGTGGGTGCCCATTTTCGAGATTGCCCATTGCCAATGGGACGGTATATCATATTACTACATATTACTACCCCTTTGATACAGCATCAATGCCTCGTTTTATGATATCCGTCATATAATACCCAATTGTATCCCCATAGTTGATGGTTGAATCCCATAGTAAAGCATCCTTTCCCCATGACACACCCATGATATGCCCTGCTGGGGAATCCCCCCAGTGATTGGCTGAGGTTTGCGAAAGCTGTGCAGCAAACGCTGGAATTCTCCGGTGGGCTCCGAAGCCATGCTGTGCTTCTCCCTTGGAACCTTAGTTTGATTTTACCTGAATTATCATACATGGGTGGGGAACAACACTGCTTATATACTGCAATGATACGTATAATACGTGTATATAAATATATATAAATAGATAAATAAATATATATATATGCACAATTTCTAAAATGGTAAACGCATGTCAAGAGAGATGATGGTGATGACAACCCAGGCGACGACGATAATATTAATAATAACGAGGATCATATTATCAATACTAAGAATGGCTTTATTATCAATACTAAGAATAGTAGTAGGAACACCACTGGCAATAGATTAATAATACATTCTCACTCATATAATGATTTTAATGATAGCAAATGATAACTGTAATAACAATGAGAACGACAGTGAGGATGACAATGTGAATAGTAATCGTTCCTGCTGTTATGGCTACTGTTGTTACTGGTACTACCAATGTTATTGTTACCATCACGCTTATTGCCTTTCCTACTGTCATCAATCTTACTGGCCAACAAATAAGGCTTTGGGATGAATGTAGTATGGTGAACAAGGCTTGCAATCCGAAGACTTGGGTAGAGATTCTCCAGCTGGGTAGAGGTCAACCAAAATAAGTACCCAATAATTGGGTGGTGAAGACTAGGAACGAGATTTGCAATTCCTGTGGCTCTTGAAATTTGACACTCACACACCAAGCAAGAAATCCATTTGGCAAATTGTTTTGACTGTCTGAAACCTGATGGAAAGACAGGGATTTACGGGATATGCCAACTGTCCAAACTGCCTGAGGATACAGCAGCTATACCCTGCTGGCACTCAGGGGGCAACTGTTCCTCGGATCAATGGGTGTGGGAGAAGTGTCCGGGTGCCAACTTCTCCCTGTAGGCAATCGGTGCTCCAAAGTATCGCCAGTTTATCCCTCATCATTCGGGAATATCTCGCAATCACATATGAATCACATATGAATCACATATGAGTCACATATGTCATATGAATCACATAAATATGAAGAATAATCAAAGATGTCCATCCATCTTTTAACAACACTTCGGGGTTCGCTTCGTTGGCGAAGCGCCTCAGGCTGTCGGATCCTCTCTGGGCGCTCAACGAGCTAGGCAACTTCGTGAAGATTTGGTCATGCCACTGGGATGCAATGCCGGCGTTTTGGGATAGCAGTTGTATCAAATAGATAAGTATCAATATGCCATATGGGATATCAATGGTTAATGATGGTTAATGTACCATCTGGTTATGACTAACATAGCCATGGTTAAGCCATGGCCCTAATAGAAATATATAGATGGTTCGGTTTACCTATTAAACATGGGTGGATCTTAAAATGGCGAACTGTTAGTCATAACCAGAGGGTAATACGAGTGGGATATACCATCCCCCATCCATGATTGGATCCCATGGGTTGGCCATGGGATGATTGTCCCTGGGAAAATCTGAAGTATCCCTACAGTCGCCTGTAGATTTCCCCTACCATTCCATCGATTGTGGCATCGCCATTAGTGGTTGATGACATTGGGTATACCCCGACTCTTGGGATGATTTTTCTGGAAGGCTCCGTTGATCAGCCCCCGGCCAAATTTCATTGTTTAGCTCAAAATTTTGACCAAGTCTGTGGTGCCTCACCTTTGATACCGACAGAAGAGTTGTTGTCAGTTTCATTTGGATGAAGAGTTCTGTATGAGCTAAACGCGTGCCATGCGTCCAAAGCACATTGCCGCGATTTACGTGACTCAGTAAAACATCTACCAAAACCAGGCATGATGTTTCTATCATTCCTTTTTTTTTGGATGTACTGACATTTAGAACCACCCCAAATCTAATTCCTGCATTCATCCACGGATTATTGCTTCAAATGGTACTGTGGAATCACTTCCTTTCGACCGATCATTGCCATTGTAAGCTTCGCCTGGGCTCGGAAATGTGGCACCGATGGCTCAGACCCCAGGCTTACGTGCTCAGGGGGTGGCTTGGATTGTACCTTTGCTCTTCTCGGCGGAAATCCCCACGGCGTTTCTGGAGCGTGGGGTGGTGCTTGTGCGGTTGGAATGGGGGAAGACTCAGGGTTCCCGGATGTTGCCACCATATTGCACCTTGGCTAACCACTATCTTTCACCTTGGAACGTTCCCAGAGATTTTGGAGTTTATTTGGGGCTAACTTCACTTTTCCAAGGTGAAATATAGTGGTTAGCCCTGGTCGACCCTCTCAAAAAGTGAAGTTTATAGAGCAGATTGAATCAACTCTCATGGAAATATCTACAAGAAATGGGTCAACACCTATAAAACTATAAATTTCCGATATGATCTGCGGGGTTAACGGTTAACATCCATAACCACCAGCTATGAGCCAGGACATCCTTCGCATGCTGGCGGAGAACGGGACCTCGCCGTCCAGCTTGATTTGGCGCTTTTTCCTAGGTGCCACGGGGGGATGAAAATTATGGACGATTCCTACGTCAAGATCCTTTCGAACAAGATCACACAAGCAGTTCCCATCCACCTGATCCTTTCGAAGAAGTTTAGGCTCACTGAGATCCACTGAGCATCTGCTGATCAGGAGCCTTCACCACCAGCTTTGTCGCAGTGAAGGCCATTGCACTACCTGCCACATTGGGAGGCCACCCGGAAACTGGATCTGGGGGTGGCGTGCATTTCAGGTTGCAAGTGGTTTTTCTCTGACCCACATCGATCAATAAAAACCGTGGCTGGTTCGAATATCCTGAAACATCCTGAAACTTTTCTTGAAGAGGTCATTTGAGGTGCTCTGCTACAATCTGGCCATTGGTTCAATGCACATCGTTTAAAACCAGAAGTCAAATGACCAGACTTGGAGGATGAGAATCCCGTGAAATAGAGGCTTATGGATCCCAAATCAAGGCCGTTTCTTATACTCATAATTACATTGTTATATACATAATCCTACTTGTATGCCATGCCCGGCACTCCGTGTATGTATTTGTATATATTATACACACATGCTACATACATATAAATATGATATGTACAGTATGTACATATATACATGTCTTACATGCATCATCAACCTTCGGCAGCTGGCAAGGTTTCATTATGCAAGCCGACAGCTATCCTGAGCTGCACCAGCCAGCTTTCTTGCCAGCCAAGTTGGCGATCTTGGCCAGAGCATTCCTGAACTACCTGTGGTTGAGCCTCTTGCCTGATCTCCATCCGTGGATGGTACGCAGTTGGGGTGAAGCAACAAAGACAATGATGGGACATACCACCCTTAATAGTCTTTGATTCATAATTTGTGGTCATATACCATCATAATCCCCATGCCAATTTCCACTACAAACATGCTTGCCTTGAGGCCTTATACCCAGGGGGATCCATCATATACTTTGAAGGTGGAACTGCAGGCTCTACGTCCCAACCCTGTCCCAAGGCATCATGGCGCGCCACTGGGTTCCAACACGACATTTGCACCCCGAAGGTCGGGCTGGATGCTGGGGATGCCGGGCTTCGCTCAACGAACTCCCCCAAATCTCCATAAAAGTTACCACAAAATAGGTGATAGATGGTGATAGTCCAACCATTGAAACCAATGGCATGAACATTTTCATCGAAAGCTGGGAGGTGAGTACCTGATCTCCCGACGGGACGAGCGGCTTCCTCGGCTGCGACACTTGGTTGCAACGGGTTCGGAATGGGAGGATGATCGGAGGATGATGTCGTTTCAGAAGTTTCTTCTAACGGTGGGCTCATGGTAGATATAAGTCAGTCCCCACAATGCTAGTATAGTGAAGTCCCATCTAAAACTTCGTTCAGGTGATGGGCTCTGCTCGCTCCCCGAGATCCTGCTGTGTGGCATTGGCCATCTGCATGTTCCCCATTAATCCCCAGGGACGGCGAACCTCAGTTGTGGGACGGCTCCGTACCGAGGCGAGATTACCCCGAGCATGGGACACCTCGTGCAGCATATCAGGAAGGCCTACAATCCCATGAGCCTCTCGCAGCTGGAAGATGGCAAAACAATGGGAACTGCAAGCTCCATTTGGCTGACTGGGTTGGGAGAATCTACCCAAACAATCCAAATATTTCAAATATATAAACAGCACCGGTGCTGGGATGGGATGTTTGGTGGCGTCAAGGCATCGCATCCGAGGTTTGCTTTTCTTCTCAGTCTTGCAAGGTTGCTATTTCGTCCCTGGGCCGAAACCATACATTGGGTGCCCTTTTGGGGCTGATCCAAAGTTCATTCTGGAGCATCTATGCACACCTCACCCTAATTGCTGCTTGAAATTGGAGAAGCTATCATTATCAGGGCCTAGACTCGGGTTGCGGATTGAACATGTTGAAAAGGAGCTATGGTAAATCAACTGGATAGCATCATTTACGGCTAAGTCATCCACAAACAATAAAGTCACCTCGTTACATCGCCACGATTCCAGTCCCCGGTGTCAGGTAGGACCTGCAGCGATTCCTGCCATTCTCTATGCCCTGGCGCGCATCCCGAAGTATCGCATGGCTGCTGGCTCGGCTTTGGCGACCCTGGGCGTGTTGGCTGTTTGGCCCATGCACATGGAACGACCCTACCGAACCGGTGGCACGGCGATCGTGACTCGAAGTCGGGCGGTGCGGATTTCGGGGGGTGAAAATTCTGCGGAAGCTAAGTGGTATTGCAAGTATTGCAGCATTTTTGGGTTCAGCTTGCAAGCGGGATATTCCAAGATATGCCTATGGTCACCGACAGAATTTTGGAAATGAAAAAAGGTTCGCGCGCCGCAGTTAGCGGAAAAGGTTGGGGACCGAAACCAAGACAAAAGATTAGCGACATTACGGACTTTCAAAAAAAAGAATTTTGGAAATAGCAATTTTCAGATCCTGATCCTCTAAAAAGAAAAAACAAGTGAGACAAATTTCTACAAAAGCCTCTAATCCACGATGCAAAATTAATTTTGGAAATCATCCTTATCGGATCCTGATCCTTCAAACTACCTGGTTTTGATTGTTTTTGCAGGATCTTGGGACAAAATCCAGGTTCGGTTTTGGGACCCTTATCCTCCAAACCACCTGGTTTTACAGCGTATTTGCATGATTTTGGGACAAAATCCAGGTTCAATTTTGGGGCCCTTATCCTCCAAACCAGCTGGTTTACAGCAAATTTGCATGATTTTGGGACTAAGTCCAGATTCAGGTTTGGGATCCTGATCTTCCAAACCAGTGGCTTCACAGCGTATTTGCATGATCTTGGGACTAAATCTAGATTCAGTTTTCGGATCCTGATCCTTCAAAAAAAAGGATAAAACAAATGTATACAAATGTCTACAAAAGCCTCTAATCCACGATGCAAAATTAATTTTGGAAATCTTACTTTTCGGATCCTGATCCTCTAAACTACCTGGTCTTGAGTGTTTTGCTTTATTTTGGGACTCTGTCCAGATTCAGTTTTGGGATCCTTATCCTCCAAGCCAGCTGGTTTGCAGCGTATTTGCATGATTTTGGGACTAAATCCAGATTCAGTTTTGGGGCCCTTATCCTCCAAGCCAGCTGGCTTACAGCAAATTTGCATGATTTGGGGATTAAATCCAGATTCAGTTTTGGGACCCTTATCCTCCAAACCACCTGGTTTACAGCAAATTTGCATGATTTTGGGACTAAATCCAGATTCAGTTGTGGGATCCTTATCCTCCAAACCACCTTGTTTAACCTTGTTTACAATTTATTTGCATGATCTTGGGGCTAAATCTAGATTCAATTTTTGGATCTGGATCCTCCAAACCACTTGGTTTACAGCGTATTTGCATGATCTTGGGACTAAATCTAGATTCAGTTTTCGGATCCTGATCCTGCAAAAAGAATAATGAGACAAATGTCTAAAAAAGCGCCTAATCCACAATAAAAAATTAATTTTGGAAATCTTACTTTTCGGATCCTGATCCTCCAAACTACCTGGTTTTGATTGTTTTTGCGTGATTTTGGGACTAAATCCACATTCAGTTTTGGGATCCTTATCCTCCAAACCACCTGGTTTACAGCGTATTTGCATGATCTTGGGACTAAATGTAGATTCAGTTTTCGGATCCTGATCCTTCACAAAAAAAGGATGAGACAAATGTCTACAAAAGCCTCTAATCCACGATGCAAAATTAATTTTGGAAATCTTACTTTTCGGATCCTGATCCTCCAAACTACCTGGTTTTGATTTTTTTGCATGATTTTCGGAACTAAATCCAGATTCAGTTTTGAAAACCTTATCCTCCAAGCCACCTGGTTTACAACGTCTTTGCATGATTTTGGGACTAAATCCAGATTCAGTCGTGGGATCCTTATCCTCCAAACCAGCTGGTTTACAGCGTATTTGCATGATCTTGGGATTAAATCTAGATTCAATTTGCGGATCCTGATCCTGCCCAAAAAAAAAGGATGAGAATAATGTCTACAAAAGCCTCGAATCCACAATGCAAAATTAATTTTGGAAATCTTACTTTTCGGATCCTGATCCTTCAAACTACCTGGTTTTGAGTGTTTTTGCATGATTTTGGGAGTAAGTCCAGATTCAGTTTTGGGATCCTTATCCTCCAAACCATCTGGTTTACAGCTAAATCCAGATTCAGCTTTGGGATCCTTATCCTCCAAGCCAGCTGGTTTACAGCGTATTTGCATGTTCTTGGGACTAAATCCAGATTCAGTTTTGGGACCCTTATCCTCCAAACCACCTGGTTTACAGCAAATTTGCATGATTTTGGGACTAATCCAGATTCAGTTGTGGGATCCTTATCCTCCAGACCACCTTGTTTACCCTTGTTTACAATTTATTTGCATGATCTTGGGACTAAATCTAGATTCAATTTTTGGATTTGGATCCTCCAAACCACCTGGTTTACAGCGTATTTGCATGATCTTGGGACTAAATCTAGATTCAGTGTTCGGATCCTGATCCTTCAAAAGAAAGGATGAGACAAATGTACACAAATGTCTACAAAAGTGTTGTTGCAAAAGCCTCTAATCCACAATGCAAAATTAATTTTGGAAATCTTACTTTTCAGATCCTGATCCTTCAAACTACCTGGTTTCGAGTGTTTTTGCATGATTTTGGGACTAAGTCCAGATTCAGTTTTGGGATCCTTATCCTCCAAACCAGCTGGTTTACAGCATTTTTCCATGATCTTGGGACTAAATCTAGATTCAATTTGCGGATCCTGATCCTTCAAAAAAAAGGATGAGACGAATGTCTACGAAAGCCTCTAATCCGCGATGCAAAATTAATTTTGGAAATCTTACGTTTCGGATCTTGATCCTTCAAACTATCTTGTTTTGATTGTTTTTGCATGATTTTGGGACTAAATCCAGATTCAGTTTTGGGATCCTTATCCTCCAAACCATCTGGTTTACAGCTAAATCCAGATTCAGCTTTGGGATCCTTATCCTCCAAGCCAGCTGGTTTACAGCGTATTTGCATGTTCTTGGGACTAAATCCAGATTCAGTTTTGGGACCCTTATCCTCCAAACCACCTGGTTTACAGCAAATTTGCATGATTTTGGGACTAATCCAGATTCAGTTGTGGGATCCTTATCCTCCAAACCACCTTGTTTACCCTTGTTTACAATTTATTTGCATGATCTTGGGACTAAATCTAGATTCAATTTTTGGATTTGGATCCTCCAAACCTCCTGGTTTACAGCGTATTTGCATGATCTTGGGACTAAATCTAGATTCAGTGTTCGGATCCTGATCCTTCAAAAGAAAGGATGAGACAAATGTACACAAATGTCTACAAAAGTGTTGTTGCAAAAGCCTCTAATCCACAATGCAAAATTAATTTTGGAAATCTTACTTTTCAGATCCTGATCCTTCAAACTACCTGGTTTCGAGTGTTTTTGCATGATTTTGGGACTAAGTCCAGATTCAGTTTTGGGATCCTTATCCTCCAAACCAGCTGGTTTACAGCGTTTTTCCATGATCTTGGGACTAAATCTAGATTCAATTTGCGGATCCTGATCCTTCAAAAAAAAGGATGAGACGAATGTCTACGAAAGCCTCTAATCCGCGATGCAAAATTAATTTTGGAAATCTTACGTTTCGGATCTTGATCCTTCAAACTATCTTGTTTTGATTGTTTTTGCATGATTTTGGGACTAAATCCAGATTCAGTTTTGGGATCCTTATCCTCCAAACCAGCTGGTTTACAGCAAATTTGCATGATTTTGGGACTAAATCCAATTTCAGCTTTGGGATCCTTATCCTCCAAACCACCTGGTTTTCAGCGAATTTGCATGATCTTGGAACTAAATCCAATTTCAGTTTTGGGATCCTTATCCTCCAAACCAGCTGTTTTACAGCGAATTTGCATGATCTTGGGACTAAATCCAGATTCACTGTTCGGATCCTGATCCTGCAAAAAGAATAATGAGACAAATGTCTACAAAAGCGCCTAATCCACAATGCAAAATTAATTTTGGAAATCTTACTTTTCGGATCCTGATCCTCCAAACTACCTGGTCTTGAGTGTTTTTTGCATGGTTTTGGGACTAAGTCCAGATTCAGTTTTGGGATCCTTATCCTCCAAACCACCTGGTTTACTGGTTTACTGGTTTACAGCGTATTTGCATGATCTTGGGACTAAATCTAGATTCAATTCGCGGATCCTGATCCTTCAAAAAAAGGATGAGACGAATGTCTACAAAAGCTTCTAATCCACAATGCAAAATTAATTTTGGAAATCTTACTTTTCGGATCCTGATCCTTCAAACTACCTGGTTTTGAGTGTTTTTGCATGATTTTGGGAGTAAGTCCAGATTCAGTTTTGGGATCCTTATCCTCCAAACCATCTGGTTTACAGCTAAATCCAGATTCAGCTTTGGGATCCTTATCCTCCAAGCCAGCTGGTTTACAGCGTATTTGCATGTTCTTGGGACTAAATCCAGATTCAGTTTTGGGACCCTTATCCTCCAAACCACCTGGTTTACAGCAAATTTGCATGATTTTGGGACTAAATCCAGATTCAGTTGTGGGATCCTTATCCTCCAAACCACCTTGTTTACCCTTGTTTACAATTTATTTATTTGCATGATCTTGGGACTAAATCTAGATTCAATTTTTGGATTTGGATCCTCCAAACCACCTGGTTTACAGCGTATTTGCATGATCTTGGGACTAAATCTAGATTCAGTGTTCGGATCCTGATCCTGCAAAAAGAATAATGAGACAAATGTCTACAAAAGCGCCTAATCCACAATGCAAAATTAATTTTGGAAATCTTACTTTTCGGATCCTGATCCTCCAAACTACCTGGTCTTGAGTGTTTTTTGCATGATTTTGGGACTAAGTCCAGATTCAGTTTTGGGATCCTTATCCTCCAAACCAGCTGGTTTACAGCGTATTTGCATGATCTTGGGACTAAATCTAGATTCAATTCGCGGATCCTGATCCTTCAAAAAAAGGATGAGACGAATGTCTACAAAAGCCTCTAATCCACAATGCAAAATTAATTTTGGAAATCTTACTTTTCGGATCTTGATCCTTCAAACTATCTGGTTTTGATTGTTTTTGCATGATTTTGGGACTAAATCCAGATTCAGTTTTGGGATCCTTATCCTCCAAACCAGCTGGTTTACAGCAAATTTGCATGATTTTGGGACTAAATCCACTTTCAGCTTTGGGATCCTTATCCTCCAAACCACCTGGTTTTCAGCGAATTTGCATGATCTTGGAACTAAATCCAATTTCAGTTTTGGGATCCTTATCCTCCAAACCAGCTGTTTTACAGCGAATTTGCATGATCTTGGGACTAAATCAAAATTCAGTGTTCGGATCCTGATCCTGCAAAAAGAATAATGAGACAAATGTCTACAAAAGCGCCTAATCCACAATGCAAAATTAATTTTGGAAATCTTACTTTTCGGATCCTGATCCTCCAAACTACCTGGTCTTGAGTGTTTTTTGCATGATTTTGGGACTAGGTCCAGATTCAGTTTTGGGATCCTTATCCTCCAAACCACCTGGTTTACTGGTTTACAGCGTATTTGCATGATCTTGGGACTAAATCTAGATTCAATTCGCGGATCCTGATCCTTCAAAAAAAGGATGAGACGAATGTCTACAAAAGCCTCTAATCCACAATGCAAAATTAATTTTGGAAATCTTACTTTTCGGATCCTGATCCTTCAAACTACCTGGTTTTGATTGTTTTTGCATGATCTTGGGACCAAGTCCACATTCAGTTTTGGGATCCTTATCCTTCAAACCACCTGGTTTACAGAGAATTTGCATGATTTTGTGACTAAATCCAGATTCAGTTTTGGGGTCCTTATCCTCCAAACTACCTGGTTTACAGCCGGGTTTTGCAGGTTCGATTGGTGAACATTCTTCATTTTTGTTGGCTAACTTGGTCGTCGACAGAATTCTGGACATGGTCAGCGTGTCATAAGTCATAAGGGTTGCCATAAATCATGCACTGTAGCCATGGCCAAAAGAATTATGGAAACATATCAATAGAGAAGTTGTCACCCCTCTCAGGAAACAAATAATTATGGAAATGGTCGAGTGCCAAGAAGCACCCTCACATGGAAAAAATATATGGAAATTTAACTGCAGCACGTCACGCCCCTTCCAAAAAGGTTCGGTATACAAGGTATTACCGATTTTTGAGGTGTGCATTTTTATCAGTAAAACAGAATTATGGAAAAATACGGCCCCGGCGCGCCGCAGTTGTTTGCTTGCCCATGTCGAACCTTTTTTCCATTTCCAAAATTCTGTCGGTGACTGTAGATGATCCATGATTGCCATCTTTAGTAATTTACGTATCGAATCTGTAGTGACATTTGTTTCTGCCTTATCTACCTAAATCATTAAATCATTATATATGTCCATTCATATTCATTCCATGGTTCAGAAGCCCCTGAGTTTCGACGTAGACTTGCTGGTTTCCGAACATTTTGCCTTGAAGGGGTTTTCCTAGCCATTTCTCACTCGAATCTTTTTTTCCCGGCTTCTTGGCAGTGACATGAGTTTTTGCCGCAAGTGTACCATGCGTGGAGCGTGAGAACTCTTGGGCGATTGCTGAGGCAAGTTTCCTCCAGAGATGGCTACGAGAACGACTTTTGCGATACTTCTCCTTCAAAGCGATCTTTGAGGAAAAGTGGGGGAGGGAGTCACTGGCTGCGGCAAGCTGTTGCCTTGGGTCACCTTTTCATCCGATGACGCACATCACAAACAGGAGCCCCTGCAGAAGGATCGACGGTACATGTTGGCAGTGATGCCTCATGGTGTGATTCCCTTTGCAAGCACCTTGGACAGGAGCTGCTGGGAATGGATCCCCATTTAATGGTAATCTCATTAGAGAAAACCGAGGTGCTGACAGGATGCTTTGGGCGACTGAGCACTTAGATTTTTGGGACCACTGACCACATGCCGCAAAATACCAGGGCTGCAGAGCCAAATGTTTCAACCCAACACCAATCAAGGCAGCCGACCACATGCACATGCAGCTCACCCGGATTTATCAAAACCCAAGCAGAAATGCCTGCTTTTGTCCTGAGAGGTGTAACCTTTTGCCCACGCAAGTCATAAGCATAGTTCTTCAAATCACCAGTGTGAAAATTGGATAAAATTGGCTAAAATTGCCTCAGCGGCTCAATATCATCACCTGCTGAGGTACCTGCTTATCCATTGCGCTGGAGAAGGAAGGCTTTGTGCCCAACAGCGACCTGGATTCAGATTCCATCGAGGTCAACACTACTGGCAGGTGAAATCAGTCGTCTTTTTTGAAAGTATCCTTCAAGGGAAAACACCAATGGTTTAGGATGGTTTAGGGACCCCGATTTTGAGACACTCAAATCCTCAGAACCCCAGAATTAGCTGAAGAACATATTTCCTGGTGGTCAAAACATGATATGCGGTCATTTTTTCCTGAAACCAATCCAACAAGATCACGCAAACCCAGAAACATGATGAAACATTATATATATAATATATATGGCTTCATGCTATATATATATATATATTTACACATATATATATATATTATATATATAATATATATAATCCCTACCCGCCTCTTAAAAATGGAATTGGAGGGGGGGGGAGTCGTACTGAAATTTCATTTTAAAATTCCATTTTTGCAATCATGTTTTCTCAATGATCAATATTCCTCATCATTCCATGTCATTGGCAAGCAGGTGAAAATTAAATACTTGCGCTTAGCTCCGGAGGAGCTAAGCACATGTCAGACTGAAGCAGCACATGTGTAGGGATGGCATCCCTCCAAAAATTTGCGCTGCCGTGATCATACTTGCGCTTAGCTCCTCCGGAGCTAAGCGCAAGTATTTTCAAACCAGTGCCCAAGGCTTGTTAATAGATGTTACTTTACAATTCCAGTCGAGGGGTTGGATCACTATCCCAGGGGTTCCAAGTAAAAAAAAGTGGAATTCGACAGGTTGGTTTTGTCCCCCCCCGCCCTCCCCCTCTATAGGGGTAGGGATTATATATATATATATGTATACGTATATGTATCAAATTAATATTTGTACCATAAATATCCCATAAATATCCCAGAAATATCCCATCAATAATGCAATCCATCATCCTTTGAAACTGCTTCAACCAAGGTATTGGAGCAGACATTTTGTTTCAAATTCCGCCCCTTGGCAAATTGAGCTTTGCAGCAGCCTGCGGCACGGTTTAAGAATATAACGACCTCCGGAATATGGTTAGATGATCTATATACCGTATAGGCTATATTTCCGTACGACTATCATCTACATTCATCTACCATCATCTACCCATGAACAGTAGATGCACATTTCACTATTGGCTGTTTTTGTTGACAGCTTCTTTTAACACCTCCAAAAGCTGGCTTTTATGCTCGTGACCGGGATCTAACTCGAGGCTTTTGCGTCAACTTTGCCGATTTGGAGGACTGGTCCCAGCAACACCACAGTGACTTGGCGGTGGATCAGGACATTTTTTGGGTGATGATAGGCACGGCACTCCACCAGATTCACGTCATATGATTTTGGATCAACACTACGTATGTTTCATAGTCTTGGCCAGTTTGATGGAGGCTTCACGTTGGTGGTGAAATCAAAATATCATCGCCAGCGGCGCCGCCTGTGCCGCCACCACCACCATCATCATCAGCGGCATCAGCAGCATCATTTTCCACAATAATGGTTTCCATCATAGTGCGTGATCAATGATATTGACACTCATCATGACCACGGTCGATTGCACATTGTGTTCTTGGTCTTGTTTACACCAAGTCTTCACATCCAGCCGTCCAAGCTGTTCTTGGCAGGTCCATCAAACGCGCCCTCGCGTGGCCTTACCCCAACAACGTGACCTTCATTGTTCCAGGACCTGCATCTTAGGGGTTGGAGAACGTGGGTACGGCGACAGAATGGCACTGGCTGGTCATTTGGTTCTTAGAATTCAACCTTTATCAGTGAAATTGGCATCAATCATTTTGGAGCAGCCACTTATTGGGTCCATGATCAGATAGGCGATTCATCGCTCTGGACTCTAAGACTCGGTAAGCTGGACGTTCAACAGCTTCCCTCCGGTCCCAGGAGGAATTGCAGAGATCTTTTTGATGCGTCCAGATCTGGAACAGGTCTTCATCAAGAGCCGAAAGGGCTTCGTCAAGTTGGCTCTGCAGGCGACTGGTCCTTGGAAAATGGGGAACCCTTAAATCCACTGGTTTGAAACCTGACTTTCCCTATAAATTTGCCCAACAGTGAATTTGTAAACAACCCATTTTCCGACAGGCACACAATAATCAATACTATAGATTTAGTTTTGGACTCCGGGAATCATCCGCAGGATCACGTAAGAGACCTTATCTGGGATGAACAGCATGCCACGTGTGTGGATGTGTGTGGCAGATGACGTACCACCAAGACTTCATAGCCTCGACTTGATACCTCCGATGGTGTCCACCTTCTTTTGCCCCATTTCAATCCCAGTTGCCACGGAAACTTCAAGCACTGCCGAGTTTTCTCAGGCGGGGGTGGACATTGTGCCGGTCTATGGCCTGGGACATACGCAACTCTTCTCGATGCTGGACAAGTCTTCGGCCCTGGGCAGCTTTCTCATGAGGATGAGCCGACGCTTGAAGGCCTGGAACATCGGTGGCTGGAAGTCGGTACAAATATCTGGCAGATTTGGCAACATTGAACTGGAATCCCACTCTGAAGATTTTGATGTGTAAACAATCTAAAGAGTTCAGATTCCACTCTTTTTAGATTCAGATTCGACAAGTGAAACACTGCGACAGGTGTCATTGCCTTTGAGTTACGGTCGCCTTGGGATGCCGCTGGTGCCATATTCCAAGCCCATTGCCGCCCTCGCTCCTTGGCTGAAATCGGATTGTCCCAGACACTGTTGGGATGACCGAAACTTATGGTGGACCTGGCGAGGTTGGAAAACCCATTCGAGTGGAGCAGGCCTATGAGAATCCATCGGAGGAGCTAGCAACTTGGTGAAGTGCCCAATGGATCCCAATGGGGCTTGGTTGTCAACCATTTCAGGAGCCAAAATTGCATCATTTTCTTGGGGTGACTATAGTGACTATCCTAATTCACCAGCCAGGTTTCTAAATCCAGGCTTGACATTATTGAGATTACCGTTATTGGGATTTCGACTTTTTCATGTGGAGATTGCATTCTCCTGCTCTCCTTCTTGTTTCTGCTGCTGGTGCACTTCGTACAATAACGTATTGGAGTCAATCATAGGAACCCATTTTTAATCTGAAAAGTTGACCCAAGCAAGGCTTGCCGCAGTCCTTGGGCTTTCAGGTGAACGAAGTACATGCACAATTTGTTGCGGAACTTCAGCGTATCTTCCAAAAGCACAAAGGCGGGCTGCGAAAGGGGGTCGTTCAAATTCAGTCTACTCTGGTTTACCTGAGCAAGAGATCAAGTAACAGATTTTGGTGTACCTCATTATTGGATAAACCCAAAATGGAGCAAGTGACCTGAGGTAGTTTTTGTTACAGTAAGGAACCAAGATTTTTTTCCCGGGGTAGCTCGGCTCAACCTCGGGAAAATCGGGGTACAATACCAGCCCCCAAAAAGCAAGTAGTGATAGATTCGAATAGTATAATGTATATGTATATGTTTGCACAATGTGGATGAATTCAAATATACTGACGACAAAATAGTTTTCTTGGCAGCGTTGTTTCCCTTGACTTTCAATGACAGACGTGAAACATCAATTATTGGGGGGTCCTGGGTTGCACAGCTGGGAGCAGGTGTGGTGCCTGGCTACGAGAATAAGCAGCTCTACCTGGAGGATGAGGCAGTTCCTCCTTTGAAGACACTTGACTTCCAATACTTGGAGGGAAACACCCAATGGCAGCGGTCCGTTCTCCGCATGCAGTTCGGCATTTTGGCAGGGATATCTTTTTTTGGAACTTGTTTCATCTTGTTTGATGACGTCGCATCATCAATCATCAACACCCACCTGGATCCCAATCCCAATTTGGTGTCCCGTCCCCAGTTCTGGCGCAGCGAAGTGCTGAGGAAAGATGCCCTGGCCACAGATGTGTTGTTTCCAAGCAACCTGCCAAGGAGCCGGCTCTGATCCCACCAAAAAGGTGGTTGATCACTGTTTGAAGTCTCGTGAAGAGATCGACCTGCAGTTCTTTGTTCCAAAAATGGGTGACCCCCAAATCAAACCATGTTAAGCACGATCCAAAGCTGGTAAGTTCTAATGATTCTAAAGGGGCGATGGTTTTGGTCAGATATTGGAATGTGCCTACTTGAAAAAACACCACAGTAAACCCACTGTCAACCTCTTTTTGATAAAAAAGTCAAGAAGTGGAGAACAGTAGTCTGTGCGGAGCGGTATGGTGTGTGTTGAGCTCGGGAGCATGTGGTATCCAAACCTATTTTGAGGCTTTTGCATTGACTCCACTCCGCTCAAAAACTTGATATTTGCTTTCTTCTGGAAGGTCCACAGGTAGGTGGTACAATCTACACTTAGAACATCCTTTCACAGATCTGGACGTGCGATTCAGTTCCGTATCTTGAGGCCTTAAGCACAGACTTCACTCGGCCAAGAAACTTTGTATCTTCTTATTTTCTGGGATGCCAACAAATAGGTGGCAGAATCTACACTTAAAACATCCCGAATGATAATTTAAAAGGTCTAGACGCTGATTTTGTTCCTTTTCTTTAGGGCTTGTGCATATTTGTATTCTCAGTTTCCAGGATGCCCACAGGTAGGTGGTAGAGTCTACACTTAGAACATCCCAATTTACGTTTTAACATATCTAGATGTGTGATTTCGTTACTTGTCTTCAGGGCTTGTGCATAGACTCCATTTTGGCTGAAGCACCTTTCGTTTCCAGGAAGCCCACAGGTAGGTGGTAGAGTCAACACATAGAACATGTCAAATTACGGTTAAAGATATCTAGACGCGCGATTCATCGTGATGCAGTTCCCTATCTTGAGGGCTTATGCAGTGACTCCATTTAGTATAAGACATTTTTTGAGCCCCAAATCATCCAATATTTGACCATACCTTTCCCATTTCAGAGAAGATTGTGTGGGATATCGTTCCGAAAGAAAAGGCAGTTGGCTTTCAGCAGCAGTGAGTGGAGAAAGTGTTCTAAGTGTGGTGTTCACAAAGGTATTTGTGTGTATGCAAATTTATTGCAAATTTAGCATAGTCAATGGGAATGTTCTAAGTATACAACCTCGAAATGTTCTTGGTATGCAAAAAATCAACGGACATGTTCTAAGTATATAACCTTTGGATGTTCCAAGTGATCGCTTAGAACATCAGCCCATGTTGTAAATATATGGTCCGTTTATGTTGTAAGTAAAGGGTTGGACATTTTGGACATTGATATTCTAAGCGAATGTGCTTCAATACAGATTTCAATACAGAGTATATAGTCAGTACAGTATATTACATGGTAGAACTACGTATGGTTTGAGCAGTTCACGGATCTATTTTTTTGGCACAGCGGGGGACAAACTGGAGAGGTAACCAAAGCTGACAGCCAGTGTCCTGGTGGCTGTTGCCTGTGGGAATTTGGCGTGGCTTGGGAAAAAGGCCCATTGATAGATGAATTACCTATTAGAATGGTGATTTTCCATAGCTATATGAAATTACCAGAGGGTAACAATGCGAATCCGAATTCTGTGATATTCGAAAGGAACGAGAAGGGCACCAAACAAAAGTGATGATACTCTTGACAATTGCAGGTTCTATGACTCATCACCAAGAAAAAGCCCAAAGTAAAGAACTGTCACCAACAAAGCATTCTGATACCACCGTTGGCATGTATGTATATCGGCTTGGTCCTCAACTGATGGTGGGTACAACCTGGTCCTTCATCGATGGTGGGTAAATCAAAAACTCTACCCGGCACTGCGGCACCTTCTGGCAATCGAATCTTTCAATGTAGTTATCCTATTTACAAGTAAATATCCTGCTAATCATGGGTATATGTATGTCCCTTGCCACAATGCTGTGTCACCCAAGTATAAGTTGGTTTCTAGACTCCTAATTGGCCACGCGTTACATATAAAGATTCGGATTGCAGGAAATGATCAAACCCGGCCTGCGAATCATCCGAAGCAATGCAATGCCGGAGGTCATTTTAGGCCTTGTACGAGCCCACCGGGGGCAACGACGTTCTGGAATGGAAGGGAGATATTTTGTCCCCATGTATGGGCATGTTGTTTCGTCCAGCTATGCCGTGCGTGAAGGAGCATCCCTTGGTCCTCAAGGTATGCAAGTTTTTACTGGAGCAGTGTTAGTCTATGTACGTATGCATGTAATTATGGAAGAAACAAACTAACTCCACAAACAACATATTATGTGTTTATAGATTTCAACCCCTACACGAGACCCTGGCATTGCCACTTGCACAGCTAGCCGTGTCGGCGCATGCCATTTAATTTAAATGCAAACATCACTCAATCAGATGAACTCATGTAATGGCGGCACAAAATTGAGTGGATGATTTTTTTGCAGCAAATTTGGAGGCACACCCGATCAAGAAAGCGAAGATATGATCCGGGAATTAAAATGCAAAACTTCCCCGCAGAGCCTGGCCGAGGACTACTTTTTCCAGGCGCGGCCCGGGACCAAGAGTATTTTTGTTTCCAAGTGTGACCATAAGTGGGGAGTGGTGTTAGCATGACCTTTCCATAAAAACGCTGCCTTTCCAACACCCCTAAGCTATGAGTCTTGTGAAAGTATGTGAAGGAGGAGGATGCTGCTGCTTGGTAGTGTTCGATTCGATACAGGAACCAGCTCTCTTTCCAGAAGAACCAAGACACCATTTGTCTTACCCCAGCAGCTGGCCAAGAGTGTGTTTGTGACAGGAACCAACCAGAGCCGCAACCTGCTACCATGCATGTTGGATTTCGAAAGTTTTTAAAGACAGCCAGTTACCCATTTTGTTTACTATGACAAAACAAAATCTTTCAATATATGCACTAAACGCCTTTGCCCGCTTCTTCGGAATCCTTGGCTTGGCTTTGCACTGACTTGGATGATCTTGGACATTTCGTTTCGAAGATCTTTGACCGCTGTGTCGTTTCTTTTTGAACAGCTGGGAAATTTTGAGCGCACCCTCAGTTTGGAGAAATCCTGGTCGCACTCGGAGGACAGAGAAGCACTTGCTACTACTTCTACTACTTCAACCCCAGGCCAGGACTTTTTGAGACATTTGCAGGTGTTGAATTTCGCCCGCAACTCTGCGTATAGGTTTGCCCTAACGCCCCCTTATGTTCAGCACTGTCCAAGACTCTTTATGAAATTGTTCTGGTTTTGAACCGAGCTTTGCTTCTTGCGCTTCGCTGTAGGACACTTGGCAGAGGGCGCGCCACAGAGCGTGCCTTGGCCAATGAGGGTAAAAATTAGATCCACCGCTTGGAAATTTGATTGTTGAAGAGTTTCCATAGTTCTTATTCCACCAGGACTTGTTTTATCCTAGCATCTTGGGAATCTTCGCTTCAAACCAAGCCAATCAAAGAACTGCAGAAGTTGGTTCAGTGCCAGGCCGGTGGGAGTTCGGTCGAGCATGCCTTTGACGTGGACCATATCTCTAAAAACCCTGGCATAGTAGTCGAGTAGCCCAAATATACATCATTCATTATTGTGAAATATGAATATGGATGAATATGGAATGTCAAGATGTTTGTTTTCCATGCAAGTCATTGTTAAGCAGCATTGGATACCCACATGAACATTGGATGTTCCAACCTCCTAAATAACGGCCTTCAATGTCTTTTGATCCTGAGTCTGTGTTGGTTTGCATAGTGTTTGTTTCTGTGTTCTTGATATGTTTGTAAATGGGTCCGGCAATGGCCTTGCCTCGGTTTTTGTTTCAGGCACACATCGTATGATACTCGAAGAACTCAGGCATTCGATATCGCAGAATTGCAAAGTCAGTTGAAACTCTTGACAGCGCGCCTTAGCTGCGAAAGGTTTCACTGGATGCCGTTTCGATCGCCAATATTCAAAGATTTGTTAATTTTTCCCGAATGCGTAGCAAGGGTTCCCGTTTCACTCTGGGGGTCTGGGGGTTGAGGGTGTGTTCGCTCGTCGTTGCCCAGCCGTCCGCAACCATTCGCAACCGTCGGCAACCGTCCGCAACCGTTTGCGCGATCCCCGTATGGCCGTGCCTATAGTAAGTCCTGCAGAAGGGGTCATTTTTGGAGGTTTCAAACGTCGGGTTGCTTCGTTTCACGTGGCAGGTGTGGCACTTCGTGACATTCAGACGTGTTTTGTAACGTGTCGAATGTCGTTTTGTGTGGTGGGCGCAATACTTTTGCGACGTTTTCGCAAGATGAGTTGCACTTTTCATGGCAGGCGCAGCACTTTGGACGCGTCCATCGTCATTTTGCGTGGCAAGCGCAGCACTTTTTGAGGTAGCAAATTTTCAGGTTCAAAGGAAAACTCGTAGGCAAACATCGATTTTGAAGCTACAAAGTGTGAAAATTGGAGGAAGTCTCGCACGAAATGCTCGTTTTGATGCTCCCACATGTCTCGTCTCGAGTCTCTGGTTTTTCTGTGGCCTCGCCGTGTCTATGGGGGAAGCTGCATAAACTCTCCTTTTCCAGGTTTCCAAGCAGGTTGTCATGCCGTTTTGCGTGGCAGGCGTGGCGCTTCGTGACATTCCAACCTGTTTGATAACGTGCCGAAATTCGTTTTTGTGTGGCAGGCGCAGTACTTTTGCGCCGTTTTCACAAGATGAGTTGCAGTTTTCCTGGCAGGCGCAGCGCTCCACACCACACTCTACACTCCACACTCCACCCTTTACACTTCACACCACACTTTACATTCCACATTTACACTCTACACTCCACACTCTACACTTTACACTCCACACTTTACACTCCGCACTTTACACTCCGCACTCCACACTCTACACTTAGCACTCCACACTCCACATTCTACACTCCACACTCCGCAGTCTGCACTCTGCACTTTCCACTCCACACTCCAGACTCCACACTTTACACTCCACACTCTGCACTTTACACTCCACACTTTACACTTTACACTCTACTCTCCACACTGCACGCTCCACACTCCGCACTCTACACTTGACATTCCACACTTTACATTCCATACTTTACACTCCAGACTCTACACTCCACACTCCACACTGTACACTTTACACTCCGCACTC